TAACACATTATTAACATGGAGCTGTTCAGTGCACCAAGAAAACCCTTGAATGCTGGGACAAGATGACTAGAAAACGAAGACATATTTACATAGAAAATGAAATGTCGCACACTTGGTAGTGCTTTGAGGATGGCTAAAGGAGTTCAACAGGGGGACCAGGCGGCCCATGGTCTGAAAGAGCATCATGGGAGCGGCTTAGAGACTCACCTGCTGCACTGTGGAGTTCCCACCATTTAGGATAGCAATTCCAAGTTTCAAAGTAGCAGCCACCATCGGTCCAGTTTCACCTTAAAAATATAAAAACAGTGCTCCTTACATCATTTCACCGGCTGCGTCAATGTATTCTACCCCAAAATGTGCACTTTTAAAATTATTACCACCCTACAGATCTCTATCACGGTGACGAGGGCCGGACTGACTTATGTACCAAAAAATATTTTAAAGTGATAATGCACGGGGGAATGTCAAGGGGGGGGGGGGGAGACATATGTAATACTCTTTGTAATACTTTAAGCAATAAAAAAAAAATAAAGTGATAATGCATATTTTGCCATCAATGTTCTTACAAAATTCTGTGTAATACAGACAAAACTGAAACCATATGAGGACCAAAAAAAAGAATATGAAAAAATAATTGATTTTGAAATACACAGACAACAGGGTGGTGAATGCCTGGGGCAGGGTGGGAACCAGGTGGTGGGAGACAAGGGGGAAAAGGGGGGGAAATCTATAATACTCTCAACAATAAAATTAAAAAAAAAATAAAGGACTCACTTTAAAGGTCTCCATTTATATCAAGGGTCTGCAAACTATGACCTGAGGGCCAACCAGCTCGTCACATTTTTGTAAATAAAGTTTTATTGAAACACGCCATTCGCTTACATAGTGTCACTGGGTGCTCTCCTGCTGCCAAAAACATTTCCCTGGCCTTTCACAGGAGACGTCCCCCCACCCGAGTCACAGGAGCAGCTCCTTAGAGTTGTGTCACAGCAGAATTTCCAAAACTTCTTGAGCAGAAATAAAACATCTTTAAATTTGCCTCGGAAACAGAGTCACAACTAGACTGTATAAATGAGGGCTCAGCTCGCATTTGTTCTCACTGACCTGGTTGTGACCCAGAGAAGCAGGCCTAAGTGAGTGGGTGAGTGGACCTGAGGGAGCTGGGGCAGGAAGGGGAGACGCAGGAAGAGGAGATGCGGAAGGAGGAGATGGGGGAAGAGGAGATGCGGGCAGCAGGCCGAGGGCTCACCTTTGCTGGCGCTGATGGTCTGCAGCACCATCTCGGCGGCGCCGCGCTCATGCAGCCGGGCTTGCTGGTACAGAAGCTTCTGCTTCTCCATTTCCTTTTCCTGAACACAAACCCCAACCGGTTATGTTGTGGCGACCAGTCGGCAGGCAGCTTTCTAGTCACCACATTTTAGTCATCTCCATGTACGGGCTCTATGACAACATTATGGACCATTTCAACACCGACATTGTTATTAGACACAGGTTCACATAGTCAACTCTTGGTTTTATTTCAACTGGTTCATCAGGATAGAGTTGCTCAATTTTAATGATTTGATTAGTCCAAAGCCTGGCCCACCGTTTTGAAGTAGCTGTACTTCATCATTGAACTTGCACTTTCTGAATTATACATTTGTGCATAAGTTTTCCCGTTTTGAATAATCTCCGTGTCATGGCCATAACTTGATACTGCTCAGCAAAAGGCTCGAGTGCAAGATATCACTGAATGACAGAGAAACGCTGAATGAGACGAGTTGGAGTTTAAGCAAAATTGAAAGCTGATATGGATAAAGAGTAGGCTTTGCCTACGTAGGGACTTATGAGATCTCTCCCCAGTGCCCCCCTCCCCCAAGGAATAAAGCCATGTGCCTTTATATTTTGTATTCTCTGGCGGCAACAAACAATGCTGCATGGTGTTGCTGGGGCAATGGTTGGAGTTTGCTCGGTTCCACTCAAACTACCACTGAGAACATAAAGAAGAAAATCAGGAGAAAATATAAAGGCACAGCGAAGTCAAGACTGAAGGATCATTCACTGGAGCGGCCCAGTCGCTGGAGAACTGAGACGGCTAAGCAGTACAAGTTGCAGAGTGGACGTTGCATAGAGCCCTGTGACAGCGAGCCCACTGATGGCGCGGGAGGGAAGCTTAGTCAACGGGACATGACACGCTCGACCAGCATCATGTCCATAAACACAGCGGCCAAAACAGAGGTGACCTCAGAGCAGGAGCTGCAGCAGAGGGTCCGCTTTGCTGCCATAAACTTTCCATCCAAAGTACGGAATAGACACTGGGAGATGGAAGAGGTTTAAAAAATGAAGGCTTGCTGGTTACAGAATATGAAAAATAAAGGAAACTAAAAGAGGGGGGAAGAAATGGGCTCAAACAAATGATAAAAGAAACCTTTAAACCAAAAGCAACCAACACAGACATCAAGCTGTTACCAGAGAGTGCTCGCCGATGCTGGCAAAATTGGCTCTTAAATCTTTGATAATATCGTGCTGCGAAAACAAAATCGATCAGGGTGGGTGTTTTTTTTCACACTATCGTTAGAGCTCCTGCGGTTAAATGTTTAGTTTTTCCTTAAATTATGTGATAGGCCTAAATGGAAGCGGAGAAAAGAAAAAACAGGCAGCTTTGCTTTGTGGTAGCCATGCTGACATCTAAAAGGTTTGCCTTCATGTTTAAACCTCTTCCTCTGAAGTCAAAAACAGAACAGAAACAAAGCCACACAGACACACAAACCATATCGTCATACAACACAGCTTTAGGAACACTGAGAGAAGACCCCGTCTGCTCTCCGGGTGGTGTTGGAACGAGGAAGCAACATCTGATTCTTCCTTTTAGACCCAACAATCTTTCCTGCCCTCCCGTGGCCAGAGAGATTCCTGGGACTTTGCTCCCCAGGGTTACTGACTCCTCTTGTGGGTGTTTTGATAAGACAGTGGTAAGAAATTAGTGGCAAAGGGACGGTCCCAGCATTTTCATCAACGACAGAGGCAAGGGCGTTAGAAAGATCAATTCTTTAAGGACCCATAGGACATAGTATAAAGATGGTCATCAGGACACCCAAAGAAAATGACCGCACACCATATATTCTTGAGGGAAAAAACAACCACCTGTCCCCAAAGTACGTAGCGCAGCTCAAAGTTCTGCCAATTTGTACGGTACGCGCTAAGATCCCAGAATCCTTTGCAGTAACTAAAGTCACGTGGATGGATGAGTGTCAGGAGGATCAAGAAATAGACAGGATGTCAAGTTGTCTTCTTTAAAAAATACCTCCCTGGGCAAAGGTGACTCTCACCTTTCTTCCATAGCATCTAAATTTCTATAATAGTAACGACTTCAGGAGTGAGGGGGACATTCATCTGAAGTCACATGTTGAACCAAAAGAGAGAAAGTGATCTGGAGGCTGGAAGGGCCGAACCTCACATGGAGGGTCAGGGCGCCTGAGTTCCCGCCGGTGGGTGGGTTGGGCTCTCTTCTCACGAGACTTTCATTCAATACCTTTCAGGTCTTTGACAAGGCTTCTCAGGTGTCATTTAATCTCGTCATCAGAAATTCTATTCCAACATAAAAAAATAAAACCTTCACCGCTAGGCCAGAAGTTTTCAGACAATAAAATGATGGATTAGGTAGGGGAAAAATACTTTCTTTTCAAATTTTCTGCAGACCTGTTGTTGTTTTTTAAAAAATATGTTTTTATTGATTTTTAGATAGAGAGGGAGAGAGAGATAGAAACATCGATGAGAGAGAAACATCGATGAGAGAAACATCGATCGCTTGCCTTCTGCATGCCCACACTGGAGATAGAGCCCACAACCTGGGCATGTGCTCTGACCAGGAAATGAACAGGGACCTCTTGGTTCAAGGGACGAAGCTCAACTACTGAGCAACACCGGCCTGGGACAGGCCTGCTCTTTTAAGCAAACTGGAGACAGACCATTTTAAAACTATCTCCCCTCAGGGACATTGCAGTTTGAAGTACCTTCTTAAAGGCAGCTTTCCCTGCCCAACCCCAGATTCCCTTTTAAAACCGCCCCAGGGTCTTAAATTAACATTATTCCTTCAGCCCGCTGCTGTTTAGTCTTTAAATTATTCCAAGGTTACAAAGAAAGGACAAGGGGCGGGGGTGGAGAAGAAGAGCAGCCCCACAAGTTGCATGTTCCCTTAGGCAAACAGTTCCATTGTGGAGTAGCCAGGAGGTGGGACGGACCAGATGAGGTGCTCGCCCTCCCTCCCAGGCGCACTGTCCCAGGTGCACACGGTCTGTCTCCCTGAGCAGCCCTGGAGCAGCTGTGGCAACCCAGGTGCCCGGCCTGGTGTCTCTCTTTCCCCGTGGGGGTCTCTTCCTCTCACACTTCCTGGGATTGCAACATCCCTACCCCAATAAAGTGCTAGCACATAATCTCTTTGCTCTGTTTCCTAGGGAATCTGGGCTACAACATGAGGGCTTTCCTTGGGATTAACAATTTCATTATAGAAAAGTGCAGCTGGCAGATGGCAGCCCCAGGCATGAGCGTTCAAGAGACAATGGCATCAAATCCCTCCCCTCCCCCACTGAGCTTCTGCAGTGGGAAGTAACATTATACATCCTCTTGAGAAAAGAAATAATTTGTTCAATATTTTATATATATAGCTATCTCTTCAACTTTTTATATTCAGGGTTATCTTGTTGTAAGATTCAGGAAGCCTTCTAATTCAGATGGCCGTGTCCTGATGAAAGCAAGGAAATAAACCCATTCAAAGATCCAATTTATGTAGCTATTAGAAAGGGTACATCTTACAGCCAGTTCATTCTTACAGAATTTACCAAAAAATGGATTCTATTCAAAATTAGGTCGTTGGAGGCCAGATAAAAATGCTGTCATCGCTGGGCAGAGCGACAGCACATGGGTCTTGCACACTAAACAGTGCACAGGCTGGAATGGGAGCAGGAGCTTCGTCGGGAATGATGCCCGTCCAGCTGTGCCTGAGCCTGTAGTGAGCCCGCCGGGAGAGCGCGCGCTGGTCTCTTCATCACTGAACGTCAACTCTGCCACGGACACATTTACTATTCAAGACACAGGAAATCTCTCTAATCAACACTACGAGTAACGGGACCTCAGGGCCTCATCAGAAAATGCTTGCGAATGAGAAGTCGGGCATCTGCCAAAGGATGTGCAAGCTGCCTAATATTTGAGAAAAATGTTCCTGAAAGCAAGTAAACACTCCATCCCTCAGCTTTGGCAAGGAAGGCTCCACTGTCATTAATGTAGGCGCTTTGGTAAGTACTAAATCTATCTTATGGCACCTTAACATGCCACTAAAATGCTTTCACTGCATTATCGTTTTTTTCATTTCACTCCCTCAGATCTTAGAGAATGAAGTAGAAGAAGGAACCATCCGATTAATGTTCTATATATTTTACAAAATTGTAGTTTAAAAATGTGGTCCACTCTGGTACCAAAGCTCTCAGATGATTCTGTTGAGCAAATCCCAACATGCTGAGAAATATGAAGTCACTTGACTTGAAACATTATTATTTATCATTATTAATTGCTTTGGTTTATAAAAAAATTCCAACCTAAATATAGCATTCAACTGCAGTAATGAACATTTCTCGTAACTGCCAAACATTTCTTCCCTTTTCATTAATTCTGACCTCTTTGTAAGATTTAACTGTCATTTTTAGTTTTAATATTGAAGTAGACTCAAGTCTAAAAATGGTTACATATAATAATGAACTAAATATGCAATCAATTGTTAAATATGTAGGGAAAGTATTCTAGAAGAAGCAGGGCAGTCGACTGTCAAGTTCAATGGGGCCAGTTAAGTGGGATCCTAGGAGGAACATGGACATGAGACGGAAGAAGAAAAGAGCCCGCAAATCCTTGCATGCTGATCCCCACCCTGTTTTCCATGTTTCTTGAGCTTTACTTTATTTCTCGTGGAACTTTTCCTTATAATGCCCCATTTTTTGTATCTCAGATTATTTTTGTATTTCTAGATCAAAATGTTTCCTCGTGGCAAATTTTACAAGCACTTAGCTATTCAAAATAGTAAGAGGTAGAAATAATTATCAAGTTCTTATCCTAGAATGAAATGCTGAAATTAACGTTAAAACTGTGGGCTGTCGTCTCTCATTACTAGTGGAAGGTATCACTAGCAGAATGGAAGAGACTTATTTCTCAGGTCACCAGGAATGCCACTTGTCACGCCTGTTTTCACGTGACGAGACTGGTGTAAAGCATCCAGAGGCGTGGGCCAGACGCGCCCTGTGAAGTCCACCACCGGCAGGGCGGGGCTCCTCTGTCCCAGCACGTGGGCAGCTCGAAGTTACCATGTAACACACAATTTCAAATCACGAGCGACTGAAATTGCAAGAAGGATAAACCTGTGTCAAGGAAGGGACACTGAAGAGACCAGTTGCATTGGAGCTACAAACATGTAAAAGGATTGCAAGACCTTCTGTTGTTACAGAAGAATCTGAGACGTTGGGTCTAACAAAAAGGTAAATGTCACAGAAACCGAACTCAGACCCAGACACATACACACACATGTACAGTTACCTTGCTGCGCTGGGATCCCGTGACCTTAGGAAGGGTGAGGACAGAAGCAAAATAGCAATAAACAACTGCTCTGAAGACAGCTGTAGACCACATGCGGTTACACTTTCAGAACACGTCACTTGCTGCTCACAACCCACTCAGTCTCTTATCAATAAAGATGGATATGAGAACAGAATACACACACGTAAGAAAGGATTACAGTGCCATAAAGAAATTAACCTCGGCATTTCCCGCAGCCAGCAATAGTCCTAGGTCATTCACAAACCGGTTTGTTTCTGTACTTCTTACACATGGACTTCCACGCAGCACAGATGCTCATGTCAACTGTTCCTGAAAGAGGCACTGGGTCCGGTCCTCACCTACACCTCCTGGTGGGTCCACTGAACTAAAGACTCACTGCTGGGTCCTAATGTCCTCCAGACTCCTAGCCCAGAGTCCAGACGTGGAAATCAACAGGAAAATTAAAAAGATCTAATCTACTTCCTTCCACTTCATATTGCTTTGAAAATTCTAAAGACAAGCAAGCAAGCAAACAAAAACAATAAATAAGGAGACTGGTAGTTAACAACACCTACTTTTTCTCATCAAAAGCAAAGTATAGTCTAAGCCGAGGGGGGAAATACTAGTAAGACTGCCTTTCCTTCTGGCTGGTGAACATTGAGCGGTATCTCGAATGATGGGGATATTTAAGAGCTGAGAGGTTTGAGAAAATAACCATAAGCTAGAAGGTGGTCCTAGGGACCCGCCCTCCTGCCTCATGCAAGCCAGCGGCGCTGTGAGCCCCATATGTGCAAGGATGAGTGAATGACTGTGCAGGAGGCACAGGAGGCCAGACCTCTCACTTCAATTCCAAAAAATGTCAAACCAGGGCTTCAGTTAAATACTCGAAGTCATGCTGCCCTGCAGTAAATATGCATGTCTGTGAGGCATTTTATTTTATTTTATTTAAAAAAAATATTTTATTGATTTCTTAGAGAGAGGAAGGGAGAGGGATAGAGAGTTAGAAACATCGATGAGAGAAACATCGATCAGCTGCCTCCTGCACACTCCCTTTTGGGTATGTGCCTGCAACCAAGGCACATGCCCTTGACCGGAATCGAACCTGGGGACCCTTGAGTTCCCAGGCCGACGCTCTATCCACTGAGCCAAACCAGTTAGGGCTTGTCAGGCACTTTAGATCACGGCCTTCGCCGAGATGAAGCCACCTCATCTCGGGGCCTCAGCAGCACTCATTCTGAACATATGGGTGCGTCTGACCGGTTAGCTATTCTACGGTCCCTGGAGTTAGGGCAGCGCATGGTAGGACTCAGACTGTCCACCCAGCTTCCGACATGCAGCTCCTTGACACAATAAGCTGCGGTAAGCCATGAAGCAAGAAACAGAAATGTCAGTTATGAGCTATGAAACAATGCTTCCAAGTGGACAAAGGCAAGTCTAGAAAGGTCCATCTTACTTCAAAACTCTTCACCTCTTCTTCACTGTCATCGTCATCTTCATCATGACAACTCTGCAGAACAGAAAAACGGAAAAAGGTCAACAGGACTAGAGTATGTCGAGGCACAAAATACAAAAGAATTTAGCACAGAATACAAAATCACTTGCATTAATTTATTATCAACCGTGTTTAAATATATGTCATGTAGGTACCATAACCTTAGATGACATCATCAATGAGTTTATGCCCTAAAAGAAAATTTCACTGTGCTTTTACAAAATTAAAATATCCATGAACAATTTCATACATTTCATGGAGATGATTATGCGGCAAATATCATACTACACATACTACTTATTCACGTGTTTGCCTTGTTCAACCCAGAGCGCAAGCTTTGGGACAAGCATCACGTTTCTCTTGGCGACGCCGCCATCACCATGAACTGGTGCAGATACTGCGCAGGAACCTGCAATAGCCATGCATTCAAACTAAGCGAGAGCTGTGCCCATTAATTAAAGTACATCTTGTCATCACTTGCTTTCTAAGTTCATTTTTTATTGTATTGTGTCCAAAGGAGAAAAGTGAAAACGTAACTGCTAATACTTTTATTAAAAAATGATAAAACATTGTACTTTTTTAGTTATTCTCCCAGAAATGAGACAGGAGCTGTGCTAATCCATGCGCCATTTTACTGGTAACTAATCCCCACGCTGGAGTTCTTTCGGGGACAGAGTGGTGTGGTTGGCAACAGGCTTCGGGACGCAGACGCCTGGCTCCAATCCTGCTGTCCCCAGCGTCTGCTGCTTAGTTCAGAGCTAGTTCCTTCACCTCTCTGGCCTAGTGTCCTCATATTTAATACCCAAGTCTTCAGCAGATCACATGAATTAATATATGTAAATTGTTTGCCACTTAAGAGCAAGTGTCTGAAAAACGATAAGGTTTTAATAAATCTGAACGGCTATTATCATTGTGGTTTGGAATTGGAAGAATCATGTGACCAAGACCTACGGCAGGAAGAAATCTTCAAAGTGGATTATTCCAACCCTTCTAAGGATTTCTTATGGCTGATAAGCACTCGGTGTATCAGTGAAGCACACGGAGGCACGTGGTTAAATTTAAGTTACAAATCAGAAAAATACTTTAAATTCAATGATTCACAGTCCGCTGAGTCTAGAACTGAAGCCAGAGAGGACGGAAGATACAAATGTCGTCCTTCCGTCCCTCAATGGCAGCTTCTAAAAGGTCTGTCACATTCATTCATTCATTCATTCATTCAACCAGGTGCAAAAGCAAACAGATATGAATTTTATAGCTTAAAAGCATGTCATTGTAACTCATGACTGTGCTACATAACCTGCTCCTCCCACACTAAACTCCCAGGCTTCTTGTCATCATTTTCGATGTTTAAATGGTGTCTTCCCCATCAGACAGTAAACTCCAAGAAGGCAGTGTATGTGCCTTTCTTTCTCACTCACCATGTCATCTCCAATACCCTGATGCCCAGTGAATAGGTGTTGAATGAATGGATGCTTGGAAAGCTAGTGAGCTCCCCATAAATCAATATGAAAGGAAGAAACCATAATACTGGTCAAGGAAGTCAGAACAGAGATTCATGGAACAAGTGGAAAGTTGAGCTGAATGCACCGTAGGCTTCTAAGGTTTAACAGCATTTTATTTTAAGCCAGAAAGACATTCTTATCCCTTTATTTCCCTTTATTAAAATTACACTTTAACATCAAGAGTGGCGTTTACTTACCTTTGCCATAATATCTGCATAAGCCATGTATAAAAAATCCTCCTCCAGTTTGCTATGGAAAACAAGAAAAAAGAACACCATTGTTTTTAAGGCTAGTCATATGCAAAATTACCGTCATTTACAAAATAACCCGTATTTTTCAACAAGTATACTTGTTTAAAATGAAATAAAAACTTGGGCAAAGTAATCATTCGAAAATATCACAGCGTCAGAGAGAAGGACCTCAGACCTACTGAACACAGTCCCCCCAACCTCCTGGAAGAGACCCCGGGCTCACAAAATAAACGGTCTGTCGATTTGTACACAAACACATCTTTCATTTTCTTGAATCTACAAAAGTTGAAACAAGCAAATTTAAAGGAGGCAGAGGCTTCTGACAGCAGAAGTGAGATTTGATGTTTGACGAAGACTCCAAATTGGCCTGGCCCATGTGGCCCTGCAGTTAAAGTGTCGGCCTGCGCACTGAAGGGTCGTGGGTTTCATTCCTGGTCCAGGACATGTACCTGGATTGTAGGTTCGATTCCCGGCCCAAGTCGAGGCTCATGCGGGAGGCCACCAATCCAATTGATATGTCTCTCTCACATAAGTTTTTCTCTCTTCCTCCCTCCCTTCCACTCTCCCTAAAAATAAATGGAAAAATGTCCTCAAGGATTAAAAAAAGAATTCCCAAATTATTATGCTATAAAATCATAATGCTACTTAAAAATTAAGAAGAGTTTAAATATGTTTATTATCCTCTTTGTAAGAAATATGGAAACCATTAACTGATGAAGGAGTCCATAAAAAACACTTATGTTTACAAAGTTATTTTAGCAGCTTTAAACTTCAGCCATCAGAAAACCTCACTTATGAGAAATTCCTCAGTGCCCGCCAATGCCAGATTGCTGCTCTAAGCATAGGGATGAGATGACCTTGCTAGCCAGGAAATAATAGGAGGGGAAGGCGTGAGAGGAGGCCGGTCGCAGTGGTGAGAGGGAGAGATGTGTGTTATTCCGGCCACAGGACCGCTCAGGACCCTTTGAGGTGTCTCTCTAGGAGCCCGTCTACGCAGGGCCTGTAAGGGCAGGTGCTGGGCACATTGTGATTCTCAGGTCTCTGAGTGCATTTCTTATTTAACTCCACAGAGGTCTGTGTTTTGTGACTTTGGTCAGTTTTAGTCAAGAACAGTGGAGGATGCCCTTAAAACAGACGCAAAGAAACTTCCCTTTGAGATGCTGGCTTACCCACCCCCTCAGGGCTCCTGCACAATGGCTCCATGATCGACCCTGGACAGTTCATCACTACTGGTCTCCACATGTTTTTGGTACTAACATTTGCTTTAAGCTCTTTTTCTTCTTATTTATAAAGGCTGCTTGTGATAACGAGAAAAAATCATTCTGTAAGACGATTCAGAATCAACTAAATCAGCTAATGACAAAGTTGTTAAGAAAAACTAGAGGAGATATTAAAGCTTGAAACTGACAGCTGCGTGCCCAACTGGTCCTAACTTTGACGGGCTCTCTCCTGACAAGCCCAGGTGACACGGCAGGTGAAGACAGGAAGAGACTCGGGACACGGCTCTTCCTTCGTCCTCTCCTGTCTCCCACAAACCCTGCCAGCCATACCATTTCTCCGTTAAGGCCGTTCGGCTGAACAGAAGGATCAGCTGATGCAGAGGATCAACTCGCTTCGTGCCTTCGTCTTCCTCTGGAGGGTCTGCTCCAGGTTTCTACGAAAGTAAATTTATAAATTCACATTGCAATGAGGCGTTCAATCAAACCCAGGAGCAGTGTGAGGGCTGGAACACTGAGTACAAGGAAAGCCCTTCTCTGCTGTGGCAGTGTGAATGTGCGTGAATGTATGTGAATGTGTGTGTGCATGAGTGTGAGTGCATGAGTGTGAGTGCATGAGTGTGAGTGCATGAGTGTGTGGGAGTGTGTGCACACAAGTATGTGAGTATGTGGGTGAGCATGTATGCATAAGTGTATATGTGAGTGTGCGTGACTGTGAAGTTGTATACTTGTGAGTGTGTGAATACGTGTATGTCAGTTATTTTTTTCCACTTTCATTTACTCTTAAGACTTAAAAAATGTTTGTACAATTGGATAGGTCTTTTACCATGAGGAAAATTATGAAGCATTTTTACTGACTGTAAAATTAATTAACCCTGACTTTTTGTTGAATGACAATGAATTTTATACCTTCATTTACTTACCTACACTTGTGTTTTCTCTGTACATACATGATGTTTTTTCCCCCTGGCTTTAAGGTTTTAATGTTGCAGAAACTGGGTAAATTTCTACAATGTAGCCAATATTCTATGGTTGTTTTAATTCTGAAGACAATTTGAATTCAGTTAAAATATCTGAGGGTCATCAAGATTCAGCTTTTATGCACTGAATTGGTTTATCCACTATATTCCCTGATAACTATGACAAAGAAGTGCCTGTTAGATGAGAGGTCTTAAGCCGGGAACCTTTAGCCTCTAACTAGTCTGCAATGTCTGCGACAGCACGCTTGCAACTCACCCTGAGAAGCTGGCTTTGGTCAGATGCTTAGACAGGCCCCCGGCCCGTGGACGATGGACAGAGCTCCCAAGGGCCTGCTCCCCGCGTGCTGTGCCTAAGGACCCCCTCGCCTTCGACCGCATCCCCGTGACTCGACCCTGCTTGTGCCCACTCTATCCTTCTCAGCTCTGCGTATTTTTTTTAAACCACCTACTTTTGCCTGAGCTGGTTTGGCTCAGTGGATAAGAGCGTCAGCCTGTAGTCTGAAGGGTCCCAGGTTTGATTCCGGTCAAGGGCACCTGCCCGGGTAGCAGGCTCGATCCCCAGTGTGGGGCATGCAGGAGGCAGCTGATCAATGATTCTCTCTCATCACTGATGCTTCTATTTCTTTCTCCCTTCCTCTCAGAAATCAATACAAATATATTGGAAAAAACCCCCACTACTTTTCACTTGCTTTTGTTCACCTTCAACTTGTTTGGTGAGTAACTTCTTTATGGTTCAGCTTCTATAGTTTTATCCTGGTTCTGAGGTGTTTAAAGGTGCCTTGAAGATGAATTTAAAAGGGTAACAAAACACTCCCCCTCAAAGTTAATAAGAAACTTGCATAGTTGACCTTAAACTCGGAATTCTCCCCTAAACACGGAATGCATTAACAATTGAGAATAAAGTTTCCCAGGACCTATACTCCGCGATGAGGTTTTCTCTCCAATGCTGCACGGTGACTGCTCACACGTGGGGCCCAGAGCCCTTTCACTGCACACGCCCATTAGAGACATACCGCTAAGTCTTCTATCAGTTTATCCTCGAAGTAATGCTCTTCTGTCTCAATCCAGGACTTCTCATACCCCTGAAGAAAAAGATTGACGGCCCGATGCCTACAAGAGAAGCACAATTTCAAACACAGTGTTGGGGACGCCAGCTCGGGATCTGCTGCCACCAACCTGACAGGAGGCAGGAAGCCAGGGCGTCAGGAGGTGCCGTAGGGAAGGGGCGAGCACAGTCCAGAGAAAACGGCTGAGACACAGAGAGGGGCCACACGGAGTAACCAGAGAGGGACGTTCCACTGGACTAACGGTGACACCGTGGTCGAGTCAGAGAATTTAGGAGCAGCGCCTGGCTGTACACGCAGTGTGACAAGATGGCAAAGCAGCGGAGGTCTCGGTGACAAGGAAAGCGTGATGCCCCTTACAGCATTAACTCACTCATCCATCCACCCACTTACTGACTGCCAGCATTGTAGGGGCTGAGGGTATAAAATTGGACAAAAGTCTAAAGAATCCAAATTTGAATCAGAGAGACAAGCAGCCAGCACTGAAGGGGGTGCTCCAGGCAGCGGTGGCCATGGCGCCCCGGAACAAGGAGGAAGCGCTCAGCCTGCACAATGAGGGCGTGGTCGGATGTCGCTGCGCGGGTCCTGTTTACCATGGGGTGTGGAGGACGCCCTCGTACCAACGTCCGAGAGGGAAAGAGCGGTGTCTTAGGGTAAGAGGCTGCGGAGGAACCCTGGGCGCCAGTGACTGGATGCGCCACGTCACTTTTCTGCTAACAAGAGGGGCTGCCCGTCTCTATGAGAAGGCGAGGAGCAGTCAAACGGGTTCCCTTCACTCCCCTAAGTTGGTTCCATATCAGCTCTTTCCCCCAAAGAATCATCATCACTGTGGCAAGGTCAGTTCTAAGCACTCTGTGTGTCTCAGCCCCTTCAATAATCGGAACAAGACTATGAGGCAGATCTTACAGTTCAGAGAGAAAACTACGATGAAGTCAGGTAAGAAACTTGACCACTATCTTAGCCTCACATTAGGTCAAGGCCGTCTCATGCTACCCGCCTCACGGCCTCCGTACGGAGGTCATTTAATAAATGCATTGCAGACCACAGTTTTCTGAGGGTTCCCAACCAAGAAAATCAAGGTCAATGATTAGACACAAGAGCCAATACATCTATTCTTCTCTTGCACTATCGTACTCATATTAAGATAGATGGTAGACCCCATCGCTTATTAGGGAAAACTAATTTTCTTCTGTTATAAACCCGAGTCCTGGCTGGGTGGCTTAGTTGGTTAGAGTGTTGTCCCGTACACCAAAATGGATGCAGGTTCAATTCCCAGGCAGGGCACATACCCAGGAAATGGATTTGACCCCTAGTTGGGGCATTTACAGGAGGTAACGGATATTTCTCTCTCACACATCAATGTTTCTCTCTCTCTCATAAACAAACATATCCTTGGGTGAGGATTAAGAAACAACAGCCACCATGGGAGAGTTCTGACCTTGGCAGGTTGTAGAGAGGGGCCATGCGGAAGCAGGCCACCACCGCCCGTTTCCGCTGCTTCGAGAGCAGCTTGTGCCACACGGCCTTCTTCGACCTCTGAGGGTGCTCCACCTGCAGGAAGAACAGACAGCCCGTGAACCCGAGCGAGCCTAAAGCTTGCTGGACAGCCATGCCTTTTAGCTAAAATCTTCTGCAATTTAAATTCCAAAAAAATACTTTACATTTATGGAAAAGCCCATGTCCTAGATTTGAAATATTTGAAATGTTATATATTTTTTATCAACAAAAATAAAATATTTTCCCAATAGTGTGTACTTTAGAAGCTATGTCATCTCTAAAATCAAAGAAATATAAAACCATTCTCTAAACTATCCGTTTGTATCCTTTCAGAATTTGGATATGGTTCTAAAACATATTTTCTGGCTACACAAAAATTAACCCACTTTTACTCCTGGGTCCATTTTCACTAATTCATCATAAGCACTACGGCAGTGAGCACAGAGGCAGTCAAGGGGAATTCTCATGAAAAGCCTATTGTCCATCAGTGTAACAGGGTGGGAAGGAGATGACCCGGCTTCAGGAACACATTACTAGGAGTAACTAAAAAGGTTTAATTTTGCAAAAATGTTAAAATATATATTTTGTTAGATAGGGACAAATGAAAATTTGAAAGCTGCAGTAAATGATGCAAGTGAGTTATTTATTTAGCTAATGGTGTTCGGAACTCTGAGAGAGAAAAAGAGATTAATCATAAGTATTAGAGAGAAAAGTCCCAACATGTAATTGTAAATTAATCAGTAATCTCTAGGCAAGTGAACACTGTACTTCCCATACTGTAACATCTCCAACGCATACATGTAGATTTCTGGAAGAAATAAAAATGTTATGTTAGCTAAAAAAAAAAATAAAGCTAAGTTTACTACCCTTTGCAGTAAACCGTCAAAAGATGAACGTGCTAATGCTCGGAGAAAACGTTAAGGATGTCTGGGCGACAGTGGTTTAGAAATGTTAACAAAGCAACTTATGTAATTGGGCGGCGCTTGTTTCTGGGAGCAGAAGGTTGAGAACCACTACTCTAGAGGATCGATGAACACCTTCTGACAACGACCCACTGGCCCTTTAAATACAGTTCCTCATGTTGTGACCCAACCATGAAATTATTTTCGTTGCTACTTCATCACTGTCATGTTGCTACTGTTATGAATCGTCATGTAAATATCTGATATGCAGGATGGTCTTAGGCGACCCCTGTGAAAGGGTTGTTCGACCGCCAAAGGGGTCTCGACCCACAGGTTGAGAACCGCTGCTCTAGAGGATCAATGAACACCTTCTGACAACGACCCACTTCCAGGTTCTTCTCAAGGACCTTGTGAAGGGAGACAAAATACTGCTGGGATCTAACCCTGCCAGTGAAAACAGCATCCAGGGCAATGCTGTTCAACTAGACTTAACACATTTCCACTTAAAATTCCATTCTGAGATCCAAGTCTAGGTGGAGCTTCCGATGAGACCATGGCGATGGGCGACAGTCAACAAATGCAATTCAAGGCCCAGGCCCTGAAGAGCCAGTGAATGTAGCAGGAGAGGCCTCCACCCTCAGGAAGCTTCTCATTTGGCACAGCATTTCTTACACAGCAAAGACCTTAAATAGCGAGTTTTCCCATAAACCCAGGAATTAGGTATTGGTAAGACCTGTGATCCAAAGACAGAACCCCCCCCCCCCCCTCCCGTGTTGATGAGCTGGCTGGAGTCTGAGCATTAGGAAATTCGGGGAGACAGCGCCCCCTCTGAGGGAAATTACAATAGAAAACACATTCGCAAAGATCACTGATACTGAGATAAACTAAACAAGTATTCCTGAGCACCCACTGTTCTTGCACGGAGTGCAGCAAACTTGGTCACAAGTTAACATTAGAATGCAGGGATCAAAGGCATGAACTCTCCACTTTGGTACCTTCCACGTTTTCCTAGCCCTTGATAATTGACAATTTCTTTTTACACCTATTCATAACGTGAATAACCCTTGGCCTTACCTTTTCCTAGATAACTCCTATTCTCACTTAAACATTTATATAGGAATCACCCACTAGATTAAGCCTGGGACCTTTTATTCCCTCCTCAGCACATTTTGTATCCTAGCCCAGCTCTCTCATCACACATTTATCACTGATGTGTCCACTTCCTCTAGCAGAGCTTGAGCAACTGGAGTAGAGGGACCATGTTCAGTCCAGTGCCTGCTGAATGCAAAGCTGCCATGAGGCAGTGCCCTAGAATGGGCGGAGTCCTACCCCTAACCTTAGTGTGGCCCTTTTCCGGACATGGGGCTGTTTCCCGGAAATGGGGTGGTGCCCTAGAATGAGGTGGTGCCCTCAAGAAATGTTCATGGAATGAATGGCTGCTCAGTGAAATCAATCTTACTGCTTCACAAATGACATTGTTGATTATGATTGGATATATTTATGAAAATATAGTATCTGATACTATAGTATCTGGAATATAATGCAACAACAGATTTCAATAAGCTTCATTTATTGTATCTCAAATTCATTCAAGCAAATCCAGATATGTACATGAAAACTAGGAAGAATTAAAAACTATGGCCCTGACCGGTTTGGCTCAGTGGATAGAGCGTCGGCCTGCAGGCTGAGGGGTCCCAGGTTCGATTCTGGTCAAGGGCATGTATCTTGGTTGCAGGCACATCCCCAGTAGGGGGTGTGCAGGAGGCAGCTGATCGATGTTTCTAGCTCTCTATCCCTCTCCCTTCCTCTCTGTAAAAAAATCAGTAAAATATATTTTTTTAAAAGACTTATGGTAGTGTGATGATGCCAGAAATGGTCCCCTGCAGCCATTTAATTACATTTAGTAATCTACTTAAATATATGCATAATTCGGGAAACACAACTCTGACTTTATATAGCACTTCAGATATCATTACCTCAAATCTTGTCATCTGCTGATGGATGACAATTTGTATTTATTTAATGTTTTATGAAAATATTATGGGAATAGGGACATGTTAAATTTCCTATGTTATATTCTATCATATTACATTATATTACTCATATTATGGTGTTACGGAATGTAAAAGCACGTCAGTAGCCATACGGTGTGAGTACCTAGTTTCATCTCATCGTAGTGATGAAGCCTAAGGCAGTGGTGCTATTTAACTGGCAGGGCAGGGACAGGAGAGCATCAGATAATATAAAACAGGAATAAAAGGAAAATGTTTATTAATGTGCTACTAGTATGTTCTGCAGAACATTTAGATGACAAAACTACAGGCATTTTACTAGTTTATGTGCCCGTCAGGCAGGCGCTGTCATGAGGCCCAATGGCTGACGACACTCACTGTGGGTTCTCTCTGTGTTATCTTGGAACTATTTTGAATAAAATAATAAAATAAAGGTGTTTGCCAAAACCGGTTTGGCTCAGTGGATAGAGCATCGGCCTGCGGACTGAAAGGTCCCAGGTTCGATTCCGGTCAAGGGCATGTACCTGGGTTGTGGGCACATCCCCAGTAGGAGATGTGCAGGAGGCAGCTGATCGATGTTTCTCTCTCATCGATGTTTCTAACTCTCTATCTCTCTCCCTTCCTCTCTGTAAAAAATCAATAAAATATATTTAAAAAAAAAAATAAAAATAAAAATAAAAAAAATAAAATAAAGGTGTTAATCTCCCCGAGTACATTGTCTATACATAGCTACAAAAATCATAAGCTTAGAACCTGTACACACTAGAACAGCCGTGGGCAAACTACGGCCCGCGGGCCGGATCCGGCCCATTTAAAATGAATGAAACTAAAAAAAAAAAAAAGACCGTACCCTTTTATGTAATGATGTTTACTTTGAATTTATATTAGTTCACACAAACACTCCATCCATGCTTTTGTTCCGGCCCTCCGGTCCAGTTTAAGAACCCATTGTGGCCCTTGAGTCAAAAAGTTTGCCCACCCCTGCACTAGATGCTAAGGACTCCGGAGTCCTATGTTCTTTATGATGAGTGCGCTGAGCATAGGACTGTTTGGACGTGGTTCACAGCCTGACACACATCCTCTTTACCATCGACGGGTGGGGCAAACCAGACCGAATCAGCAGCCAGTCTGACCTGCTCGAGATGGAAGAGCACGCTCGCTATGTCCAGGACTCGCTCCACCGTCTTCTCGGGATCGGCGCTGTCCTCAGGCCTGTTCGGCAGGTCTTTGTACAGAGCCATTTGCCATCTAATAGCAGGATCCTCCAACTGCGGAGCAGAGAGGAAAGCTCAGGAAACATCAGGTTACAATGTAAAAAGGGGGACGCATTGCTGACGGGGGGTGTGCAGTCATGCAGGCGCATAGCACAGTGTCTGAACACATGCAAAGACCAAGACCCAGGGGACCTGCACTCCGAAATCTATTATCTCGTGCGAAGACAAACATGAAACGCGATGAGGGCCACTGCAAAGGAACGTAAGGCACCAGGAGGCTTAACCTAACCTGGTGGTGGTTGGAAAGATTTCCCTAAACAAGCGAAGTTTCTGATGATCGACTTTAAAAATATATTTGTTATTTTGAGGGTCTGTAATATCAAAGGACTTCAAGTAGGATAATGACTGGTTAAAATAATATATTTTCACTATCTTAACACATTGTGGACGGATCACAAGAATTCTTGCTTCATATTACACAGTGTTTTACAAAAGTATCATAATTTAAAAAGATATCAGTTTATAAGAACATGTAATAAATGCAATGGGTATTTAATTTTAAAGCATGCCTTTAACATTTATGTAAAACATTTTCTGTACTCGTTCAACAGAAACTTATCTGGCCACTGGGTAAAGCTGGCAATAAAACTACGGTCCACAATGTGTTAACTGCTAAAATAACATTACTCTGAGTACTATTCTAAAGAGAGAATAACCAATGTATAGATACTAAATGTGCTTTAGAACAAATGTGGCTTACCTTGCCTTGTAAATGAATATTGCTGCGGATTATATCTCGGACTTCATCCTCAGTGTCTTTCTGTCAAGAAATAAATGTTACCTAGAAGTCTTGTGAAGTGTCACCTGCTATAAGTAGATGGAAATCATGCACCCCTCTTTGAAAGCAGTGCACGTCTGCACAGTATTTTTGGAGGCTTTGGCTGCGGGCCACAGATCTGGGCCTCTGTCGGCTACTCTGTAGCTGCTGCTCTGACTAGAAACAACAGCTGCGTGACCTCCACTGTAAGTGCATCGAGATGCAATGAGCTCGGTTTCCAGTTCACAGCACGAAGGGAAGCATCACGCTCCCTGGGGTTCACACAGACCTGAGTCTCTCCCCAAAATGTGCACAGAGTAACTGAGCACCTATGACGTGTGCGCCATGCGGTGCCTGGAGCCCGCCCTCAGGGTCACTCATCAGACCATAGCCTCTCGCCAGCCTCGCTCATTTGCTCAACTCCAGACACACTCAGGGAGCTTCAGAGATGCCAGGGCAGGAGTGAGGCCTCCAATTTACACAAATACAAAAACAATAAGTCCATGTACACTTTTGAAAAACTGCATCCTCATAAGCATAGCCATGACGATGGAAAACAGGCCATAAAGAAATCTTGAGAACATAAATCTCAATGCTTGCAAAAAGCTGCTGGTTTAAAAGTCAACACCGCACATCACCATGGCTGCTCCTAACACTGAAAAATCGCCCTTCATCAGAAATCTTATATAGGGATCCAGATGAAATCCATTTTTCTCACTACCTGTGACTTGTCTGTATCTTTTCCATGTGGCTCCTGAATGTGCCCTGAAGGTGATTAACATAATTTAGAAATAAAATCAGCCTCCCCCGCCAAAAAAACCCAAAAACAATAGGCAGCCGTTGAATCTGAGTTCAGGGCCTGTGCAGAAACCACTGGATAAAGCACTCACTGCAGATGAGCAGTGGAGAGAGCCCTGGGAGATAGGCCTGCAAACCCCGTGAGCCGGGGGTGGGACGCTGCAGCCCCGAGAGAAGGTACTCACCATACTCAACCGGTTCTTGGCCAGAGCAATGAGCTCCTGGTCTCCGGGGGCACAGATGTTCAGCCCAATGGGCAGCAGCCGCCTCAGCGCGGCCACGATGAGGGAGGTCTGCACGGAGTAGCGGTCTCCTTTCCGCCTCATCTTCTTCCTCTCCTGGTCGGACACAGCGGCCTGCAGACGGACGGGTGCTGGGGTCAGGCGCTGCTCTGCTCCGGACCTGGCCCTCTCCGGGCTCCACTTCCCCTTTCTCTGCTGGTCGCTATGTTTTAAAATCCTACTGAGGACATTTTTTCTTTTTTCTTCTAATTTTAAGTCCTACTCTCGATTCCCAAGTCATTACAATTCACTGGTGTGCATTTCTTTATAATTTTAGAAGGAAAATGCACATTGTAATTCTAGAGAAGGTATGGATATATGAACACTCCATGGTAACTTTAGATATTGTATGTTTTATCATTTTCAATACTTAAGAAGAAAATTTAAGAATGAATGGTGTATTTTTGTCTTGACAAATGCCTGCTTTGCAATACACACACACTCACACACACACTCTGTATCCATAAAACTATTACAAAGTACACTCCCTTCTGTGTGGCCTGCAGACTTGTCTGCCCAGGGCCCCCCATCTAGGGAACGGACATGGTATACTGACCAGTGTCCCATAAATATCTGAGATGACCTCACCTGAGGACAGCCGTGCCACCTCAGGTCTCTCGGAGACCAGAGTCCAGATTCCCCAATCACCTCCTCAACCTGGGCCCACTCTACCTGCCCTAATCACCTGGGCCAGGGCCAGCCAACTAGGGCCTTCCCCTCGGTCCCCGAGCCCTGGAATGATTCACACGAGGTTCACACCTGCTCACCTGTCTCACCTGCTCCTTCCTGCAGAAGCCCCAGCGAAGGTTCTTGCCCACGCTTCCCCCTCACTCCCTCTGCTCCTGACCAACCCTGGGCTTCCCCACACACCCCTCTCTATGCGGTGCCTTCTGTTCCTAGGGACACTGAGTCACAACTTCTTCCTCCCAGATAGTTCTGTCTGCGTGTAATACTATCCGTGAGTACATCAGTCCTGGGTCCCCTCAATTCTGTGTGTGTGTGTGTGTGTGTGTGTGTGTGTGTGTGTTCAGTAAACAACATTACCAAAACATTACCAAATCTATCAAAGTCCACTTATAAACCTTCAAAAAATAAAAAATAAACCAACCAATGAAAGCTGCATGGGGACACTTCTCTCGCCGCGACACAGCACAGAAATACCTTTGACATCTTGGACTTGGTGTCAGAGATGAGGAAGGACATGTTGTTGATTTCGTTCTGGACCACGAAGTTCTGCTCCTCTCTTTTGAAGTTCTGAGAAGTCACAAAGGAAATTCCAGTTACAATCACATAAACAAGAAGTCCATGTGACCAGAAGTTCATAGGAAGATAAATGTTAATTTGATATGTAAGACTCATCAAGAAAGGGAACACGTATGTGTTGAATACAATGAAGGCGTATGTGTTGAATACAATGAATTGCACATAAAAACCAAGTCTCAAAGGTCGGGAAACTAAGGGTGAGAGGATTTAAGTAACGTGGACACACAGCTACCTCGGGTTGAATGACTACTCAGACCTGGGTTAGCCGGGAAAGCATGTGCGTCTCCGGTTAAACATACGGCACAGCAATGGGATGGAGCTTTCCACCCGGTCAGACGTTCCATCTGCTTTTTCAAGTTCCATAACATTCCTCATTCGCTTTTAATTCCGGGTCACAGACCCACTGGCAAAGTGAAGTATTTGAGCATTCTCCCTCCTCGCCAGTTAAGTGACCCCCAGGAGACAAGTTTGAGAAACACGAAGGGGCTGGAAAATTGGCTAAATGTTTGAAAGGCCTTAACATCCTGCCAACAGCAAGCCCTGCCCATGTTGCCCTACTCACGTGGGACTTGGACCAGTAGATGAACACCTCGGCCACCATGCGGAACAGGTCCTCGGCTTCCGGGCTCGGTTCTTTGAGCCACTTTGCCCTGGATCACAAAATCAATGAAGTGGCTCCTCAGTTACAACTTAAAATTTAAACCTGAAACCAAGTAACTTAGGGATGCTGGCTTCCCACAGAGCACCGATGGCTAAGTGTGCAGTGGTAACACTGGGAACTAAAACACCGGACCTGTCCAACCGCTAACACTGCGCCTGCTTCAGAATGCCCTTCCTGGTTGTAATTTCAAGATGCTCCGTCAAAACAATGCATCTAGAAACATCTGAGTATGAACAGGCTCATCGCTAAGAGGTTAGTGAATGAAGCCATTTGTCCGGGACACAGGAACCCAGCAAGGTCAGGCTGCCATTAGAGAAATCAATCGCTTTGAACTTCTACCTGTTGTAGTCCACGAATCGGATCAGGAGCGGGTAGAAGGCGTAGAGGTCCCTGGCCAGCGTGGTGAACTCGTCCAGGATGAGCAGTTCGGCCTCGGACATGTCCCCTCTGGCCTCGGCTTTCAGATGGTCTTCCTCCGAAACCACCATGGCTGCCTTTTTCTTCAGTTTCTCCATTAATGGCAAGAAATGAGTTTTCAGGAGCTGAGGCTTCACTTTATTTATAATTGGCTGGGAAAACACTGTGAAGACAGACGTCAGTGCTGTGCTCCGCATACAAGTCATGTCCCCCAGGACAGACTGTCGTTACAACAGCGGCTCCGCGCGAGCCCTCCCCGCACATCTGCCCCGAGTCAGCCATGGTCTCAGGGTCTAGTCCCCAACTGACTAGGAATTGAATCTGATGTGCTTCCTTGTTTGTTTTTTTTTTAAAAAAGATTGACAGCTAATCTAAAATAAAAATTGAGAAAAGATATTCACTCACTTTGCAAATCAACTTTTTTCACACAAAAAAGAAAATTCCCCAAATGGCAAAGGTCCCCTTGCCTTAGAGTAGCTGCACACTGTTCCACAGTGTATGAGCGAAGGTACTGCTCCCTCCCCTATTGCCCCCATCCTGTCCTGGGAAGAGGGGGATTACATACAACACTCACTGCTCATTTACTTAAGAATAGTTGTGGTTGTTAGCCATCATTCTAAACGTGATGAGGACACTTTTAAAAGGAATTTTTCCCCTAAAGGTAACACATATGTATTGCAGAAACATAATAAAGGGAAATATTAAAATCAACCATAATCACCCTACCTAATTAGTAAGACATTCATGTATTTTTCTCTGGAGTTTTTATAAATAAGTAATTTCACAAATATATACTTATATGGATTTCTGAATTCCATTTTAAAGTCCTTTTCTTTTCATCTTCCTTGCTAGTGTGGGCATTTTCCAAGTCATGAAAATGCCCACCTTACTGTTAAGATGGCCTGTATTCTGCTCTATGCTGTGCCCACTAGTAACCACAGGCCAGCGGTGAGCGTTAACGTTGCTTCCACTTGTTCCACATACGCAGGGCAAAGGCACATCACTGCAGTGTGAACATGTGAGGCAGCCTGAGCATCCTCCCCATCCTGGGGGACAGACTGCTGAGGGGCTGATTCAAAACCCAGGTTCATCTTTGTCTGCAGAGACATTAGCTTTTGCTGCTGTGTTTACTCATTGACCTTAGAGAGGCTGTCAGAAGGAAAATGGTTCCTTTCTTAAAAGCACATGGGAAGTCACTCACAGTCTGATGATATCTACTTTCTAAAGAACAGCATGACGGCAATGATAATACTGTTTAGCACAGGAGCAATATTAATAAAGACGGAGATAGAAAAAGTCTAGTTTCTGTATTTCAAATCTTTTTGGAAATAAGACAACTTGAAGCGGTCGCTCCTTCCCAACCCTTACCTGCCAGCCTCTTCATCCAGGCCCCCTCGTCAATCCCCAGGTTGTTGTAGATGATTTTCAGGATGTTCCCCAGCAGGGTGTTCATGTGCTCCGAGTTCAGAGCCGTGCAGCACAGCCCGGCCCTCTCGGGGTTGCTCTCGGGCCCCTGCTCCCACCACCGGGACATGTAGCTGCAAAGCATGGGCAGGATGACTTCCATCACGTGCGGCATCTGCGTGTAGCGGATCCCGGACTCAGCCAGCTCCACAATCTCTTCCATCAGTTTCTCCAAAGATGGGATATTTGGACAAACATCTTCCACGTTGGCTGGCAGATTGAGAGCTAGAGGAACACACCCAAGAATAAATGGTGGTCACTGAAGTCGCAGACACAAACAGCCATGCCGTTTGGGCTCCAAGATTCAGCCTGCCCACCCGCCTCCACTGGGCCCTTCTCCTTCCTCCTAGCAGCCGTGTCAGCCTTTCCCTCTCCTTCCCACGCTCCTACCCTATCCTCCCCCAACTCAACTCAAATCCTAGCAGATAATTCTAGTAGGTTCTCAGAGGCCAATCCTTGAAATCATCGGTGAGCTTTCTCCACTGGGGCAGTGAAAGAAATGGGGGTTATCTACCCAGATTTTCCCAAACGGAAAGTGACATGATGCCTGGCTTCGCGTCTCAGCTGCTGCCCCTGCAGCTGCGTTACCTGCTCTCTCCCGTGAGGAGCTAGTGTTGTAGATGGAGCAGCTGTTGTGTTTGTTGAGATGAGTTTCCAGAAACGCCACCGGGAAGGCACCCGCAAAGGCCGCCAGACACTCGCCCACCGCAGATCGCTGCCTGGAGGGGAAATGCTTTGATTTTTATTTCCTTCCAAGTAAAAAACTGAAGGTGTATTAAAACTAGGAGTTTAACCTGAGGGATAATAACAGTACTGCTAATACTACTAACCCTCAAGTATAATTTCTATGTTATAAATCATCACATGCTCTCAATAACGAAGTTCCTGCCATTAAGAAAGAAAGCCAAGTTATCTTTTAGCTTTAAAGACGTTAAGTCCTGGCTAGTGTGGCTCGGAGGCTGGAGGGTCAGCCCACACACCAAGGGGTCATGGGTTCGATTCCTAGTTGGGGACAAAGGCCTGGGTTGTGGGTTCACTACCTGTCCCTGGTCAGGGCTTGTGCGGGAGGCAACCAGTCAATGTTTCTCTCTCCCTCTCTCTCCCTCCTTTCCACTCTCTCTGAAAAGCAATGGAAAAAAATATCCTTGGGTGAGGATTTAAAAAAAAATAGGATGCAAAATGGCAAAATTTCAGGCACATAATGTGGGTTAAATAAAATAAATGTTTTAAAATAATGAGAAATAATTTATTTAAGAATTTAATAGGTTAAAATGTCTCATGTATGACTTCAAAGTCAGCAATGTATTCCCTTACATCTGATTAGTCTATCATTAATAATTCTTGTCAATTATTTAATAATTAAATTTTTTTTTTCAAGTAGTAATTCTCAGACCAAGTCTGATCATTTGTGTTGGTATTCTGGAAATAGCCATTTTTCTTTTAGATGACTTGTAATAAAATTACTACATTTTTATTAGCACTTATGTCACTTTTTCATTAAAAAAACATATTTTACTCATATTCAAAATGTTAGTTTTATATTCTTCCAGGTCATTTTATCATTGCAAACCTGCGCTAGCAGATTCATAAACACTTAAGTTAAAGCTTTATATTAAATATGGTCTTTACTGAGATTGCTTTATTTTTCCCCCCATAACTCTTTTATTATATTGTAAGGATAGGAAAAAGGCCTTCCTTCTTCGCTGTGGTCTTCCACAATTTATGAGAAGCACCTGGTAATTAAACCCCCAGATTGTTGGCTCCTCTGTTCAAACTGTGGGACAAGATAAGCTACTCTCAAGGCTACATTCTTGTATACCCTCCTCCCTGCTGTTTTCACAACTCAGATAATTTGCAGGAAGGCGTCTCTAGTTAGTAGAAAGTTCCCTTCCCACCTCACCTTCAAAAGAAGCCTCTTTTAAACTCTTCATAACTTTTGCCCTAAGCATGTTTTATAGGCTTGGGAAAATACTGATAAGACACCTCCCTGGGACATCTGTTGGACTGTCTCCTGGAAAGCAAACACACTGTAACTCTTTAAGACAGCCCTGTAACCTGCTCAACATCAACACAACCCTGACCCCTTCCTTCCTTGATGCTTGGCAACAGCCACAGCTTGAAGAGCAGGCCACCCCTTTGCTCCCTGCCCTGTAACGACTAGCAATACACCGCCCTTACCTCTACTGGAAAGTAAATGCAACTTCCTCTCTGCATCTCTCCTTTTAGTTGTGAATTCTTTCACAGTCCAAGTCACCAGCCAAACCCTAACATAAATCAAACTTACCTTAAAGATTGTGTATCTATTCCCAAAGAATCCATAAAATGAATCTGGTTCTTTAATTTCTAACTAAGGAAAAAGTTATAGAGCGAAGACTTTTTGTAACACTTGAAATAGTTATAATACTTAAAACAGTGATTGAGACAAAGTTAAATTTAAAACTTTACCTTTCCACATAAATACTCTTGCTCGTCCCCAGAGCATATAAGCTCGTCAGAATTCTATAACAGGACACCTGTACATCTTCCACTAGGGAAAAAGAGAATTGCACATGAAAAAAACAACAACACTTGTTATTTACACAATGTCTAAGAAAGCTTCGCGAAAACCAAAATTCCATATTAAAGGTATGCTGATATTTTAACGTCTGAGAGAAACAACATAAGAACAAGCAATATGTAAAAGGAAAGACAAAAAGGTTTTCTCAAACAAAATTCTTGCCGAAACCGGTTTGGCTCAGTGGATAGAGCGTCGGCCTGCGGACTGAAAGGTCCCGGGTTCGATTCCAGTCAAGGGCATGTACCTGGGTTGCGGGCACATCCCCAGTAGGAGATGTGCAGGAGGCAGCTGGTCGATGTTTCTAACTCTCTATCTGTCTCCCTTCCGCTCTGTAAAAAATCAATATAATATATTTTTTAAAAAAATTCTTTTCTTTCAGGATCTTAAAGCATTCTAAAAAGCCCTGTGATTATTCAGAACAGGATCAGGAACAATTTCTTTAAAATTTTTCTCTAGGTATAAGAATAAAAGATTTCTTCAAGGATAAAAGTAACACAAGAGTAACTTGGAGGGCAGGTAGGTGTTTGACTCCTGATCCCAAGGTGTACTAGTATGAAGTGGCACCTTTCATTTTAGGTCTCGATGAACCAGCATGCGAATGGTAGGGGACGGAGTGTGCTAACTATTTCTGACACAACCTGGCGTGTGCAGTATAAGTCAGTCACTTTGGTGGTTTCTGCAGCTAAAGAATCAAACAAAACCTGGTAGATGATCCCTGACCCAATCAGATGTCTACTGGCAAGGAAATCTAAGAACCTTGAATTTCCAATTCTAACTTGGCTACTGTTTCCTGCAGGAAACACAACATCAATGGAGAAACCACCGTGTCCTCCAGACGGTTTCCATGGCCACACTGCACAGCAAGCAGTGCTCCCGCTGCTTCCAGCAAACCCCGCAGCCAGTGTCCTTGTCGTCACCCAGCTCTGCAGTGGGTTTCGCGCAGAGGTGCATGCCCCCGGGAACCTACACACTGCGTCTCAGCAGCTGGGTCTGAGACTGCACGGCAAGGACTCGCACCTTCTCTCGTGTTCATGCCAGCACAAGGGCAGGACACTGGGGCAGGTCATGCGTTATTTTTTCCCATATAACCTTGGGCATTCTGTGGATATATATATGTTTAAATATATTTTTATTGATTTCAGAGAGGAAAGAAGAGGGAGAGATAGAAACATCAATGATGAGAGAGAATCATTGATTAGCTGACTCTGCACGCCCCCTACTGGGGATTGAGCCCACAAGCTGGGCATGTGCCCTGACCAGGAATCGAAACGTGACTTCCTGGTTCATAAATTGATGCTCAAACACTGAGCCATGCTGGCCGGGCCTGTGGATATTTTTAATAATTAAAGAATTCCAGCCAACAACAGCCGGTCAAATCCCCAATGACAACAGACTGAAACCTATTAACAGCAGCTGTGTGGGTTACCCAAGGTGACAGGTTATTTGGACACAGACTGGTCTCAGCAGCCTTCAGTTTGCTGGTCATGCAGCCATGGAAAGGGTCTGCATCGACTCAGAAACAAGTGGAAACGTTTCACATGTGTGTCCCGTGGTCAGACCGCGTTAGCAAGTGCCATGGGAAGAGACAACACGGAACAGTGACTTTGGAATTTGCACTTGGACCGTGGAAGACTGTCATGCCATTCGGCGGTCTACCTCTGCAAGAACGGTTTCTGTCACTCACACTCAACCTAGAATGTTCTGCAACACAAGCAGGTCAATGTTCCCGCAGCGTTGGAGGGACCCAGATGTGGCTTCCGTAGCTGCCTGTGCCGTCTAGAAATGAGGCTCTAGGTGCAGGTCTACGTACGGATCAGGTCTTCCCCGAACTGGTGCTGGCCGATGTGCTCGAACAGGGAGGACAGCACAGGCAGCAGCGCCACCGTCGTGTAGTTGATGATCTGCGTCACGCCCCGCGGCTGGCTGCGGGTGTGCGTGAACTGGCCCTCCTTCAGGTTCTCCAGGGTCCTGTCCAGGTCCTCCGCTGCGCTGTCCAGAAACGCACTGAGCGCGCCCTTCACACTCTCCAGGCCGGTCTTCATGACGGTCCTGCGGGGGGACAGAGGGCAGGCGTGAAGGGAGCAGTGAGCAGGAACACACTCTGCTTTCTCACAGCACACGCTCAGCTGTCAGCCTTTTACATCCACTCAAACACTTCCACACACTTGGAGTGTTAGCCACATTGCTCGGTAATTCACCACCGATCCTAAATTCCTTCATGGTCAACTCCAAGAGAACCTCAGAGCAGAGGGCAGGGCGAATGCCTAGTTTTCCACCTGCATTAGCATGTCTCAAATTCTGAGAGTGTTTATTCTAAAACTAAGCAAACACAGCTGCTGAGCCAATTCAGTTCATCCCAAATCCAACCAAAGGAGAATGTTTCCGGAGCAATGGCTGTGAAAGAAACATTCAATGGCAACTCCACCAAGTCGTCAAGTGACACGGGAGTTCGGTGCTTTGAGGGGAGATGCAGAGTGATATACCAGCCTCTCCTCATACGCAGAAGGAGCCTCCTGGGCCACCACTGCTTTGCTAGTAAGAATGAAGGTGCATAATGTAAGGCCAAAACCAGTTTGGCTCAGTGGATAGAGCGTCAGCCTGCGGACTCGAGGGTCCCGGGTTGGATTCCGGTCAGGGGCATGTACCTTGGTTGCGGGCACATCCCCAGTGGGGGGCGTGCAGGAGGCAGCTGATAGATCTCTCTCGTCGATGTTTCTAGCTCTCTGTCCCTCACCCTTCTTCTCTGTAAAAAATCAATAAAATATATTTTAAAAAAAAGAATGAAGGTGCATAATGTAAGAATGAAGGTGCACAAGGGCATCTCCTTTTGCTGTTTATTATACAAAACACCTCAAAGTTTTAAACACAAACCTGGATTATCCAAGGAATCATGGAATACTCTCTGTAAGAGACCTTCAGAAACTTTCATTTGGATTTGTCCTGGGTAATAAATGAATTTAATGTGTGGCTGAAGGCTGAGTCGGTCATGCTACATGGGTTGACTCTGTGTTCAGACCACATGCTGGGTTGCAGGTCGAGTCAATGGCAGGCAGAGGAGAAGGGGCACAGACCGGGGCTGGCTGACCACCACTCACTGGGCAGTCTTAGGCTTCACTCTACATCTGTAACCTGAGAGTAACCTTCTTGTTTCCGATAAAGTAAATGTTATCACACACGTGAGCCAGGCACGGTGCCTCGACACCCACATGACCTCCAGAGCTATCACTACCACTTTTCCCTCACAGGACACATTCCCAGCTCAGCCCTAGTTACACGCCAAGATGCTGCAGAAATTACTAAAATTGAACAATTTACATATGATCGTGAAAATAACAAAATGTCATTGTATTAGTAATTTACCAAGGATCCTTCTTTTCACCTACACCGAAATCTTCAGTACTATCCCAAAGAATATAATGAAGGCAAGTAGCCCATTTTAATATTCTCCAATGTCATTATGACACTCGCTGATTTAGATAGAAATGGACCCGTGTACCTTGCATCCAGAGTCTGACCCAAAATGTGAAGACAGTTGACAATGGATGCTGCATCGTTTCCTAAAGAAGAAGAAGAAAAAAGGTGCATGAATTGCCCTGAGAATTTGCCAGTTTTCTTCTTTCCTATTCATAGTTGTGCTTCAAAAATCAGTCCACAGCACAACTCAATGTCATAGCTCAAACAGATCTCTGACAATCGAGTTTCACATGCAGTTTCCTGCTACGGTGGTTATGCGGATGTCAGTAGGAAAGCGGAGAAGCGGGCCTCGGCGAGGAGCTGATGCACTCAGAAGCGGTGGAAGCGCTGCCCAGGCTGGGGGTCTACTGAGTTCTCCACAGACACCCCTCCACAACCAGCTCGCCTCCTCGTTAAATCACATTGCGTGGCAACTGTGAAGTCAGCTCACAGCCTTTATGGGATGAGGTGGCTGAAAGTCTAATAAATGTAATTCCAGTTTGATTACCCAGTGTCTCTGCCTTCTGATTGCATTCACCTGGATTCAGAGCAGCTCATCTGCCTGAATGCTGTTGGTCTTTGGTGAAAGAGGAGCACCATGCTATTATGTAAAAAAGCATCGGAAGCTGAGAAAGTTAAATCCTACTCCCATGAGACACCTAAAATGGGGCTGACTGTTCTTGAAAGATGTAATCCCCTCATTTTGATGGGCAGAAATGTGAATTATACAACCACTACATATATATTACTTTGTGATAATAAGAAAAGCAAGTCCAAAGTTACAGTGACTTGATTGCTCACAAGATAGTCTGACGTTATGATATCTTTATTCTGTATTCTATATATAATGTGTGTGCACACTTTTTTTTCCCTCACTGTATAACATATCGTCATTTCCTGGATCCTGGGGTTAACAACTCCGGTCTGATTTTAAGTTTTTATGACATTTGAGTATGTTATAGTCTTTATATAAAAAAGTGTCCTAAAATGAATGAATTAAATATACATGGGAACTAATACTTGCTTTAGAATGGCAGCGAGCCAGTTGAGTGACATGATACAAACAACAACAAAAATAAGGCACTCATTACGGAGCCTCTGAGTACTTTCAGAAAGGTCCCGTTCATCTTGTGCTTGGTGCCTCAGAATTCCTGATGGTAACGAAAACAAAACGAGCAGAAGGGCAGGATTTGTTACGTCCCTGTCTATTGGCTGGTGGCAATCTTAGGGCTTGTGCTGTAGTCCCTGAAAGTATTACTCATTTCATTATTTATTCATTCACTCAATAAATACTGGTTACATACCAGACACTCTCAAACTTCAAGTGATAAGCAAAACAGCATTCTCAAGGTACTTGCATTTTAGTTGGGATACAGATAACAAACAATTCATCAAAAATCAGCATGTAACATAATATCAGGCCACAGTAAAAATAGGTAGCAGGAGAGAGTAACAAGGGAGTGGTTAGGAGGCCGACCCCAAGGAAGTGGGAAATGAGCAGAGCTATTTGAAGGAACAATGAAGGAACAGACCGTGCATGCAGCTGGGAGAAGGGCCCAGGCAGAGGAAACTGTAGGTGCAAAGGCCCTGGGGCAGAGAATGAGGAAGTGAAGTGGCTGATGCGGGTAGATGGGGAAGGAGATGTGTGACGGAAGGAGGGGGGGCCAGGGGCAGTGCCCTGCAACTGGAGCAAGAACTCTGGGCGTGTTTCTTAGGTGCAACAGAAAGACGGATTGTGAACAGATTGGAATCTGACTGATATTTTAAAAGGATGAAATCCCAACATGCAAACCTCTGAAGGGCCGAGTGACGTGAGCCAGGACGCTCCTGCGGTGCCACCAAGGGGTTGGGGGTGAATTTGATCAGCATATCAGCAGGGAAGACTTTAGGAACATATTTTTAAGTTTTTTCTTATGGGTTAAATGGGACATTTATCAGCTGTTTTTCTTTTCTTTTATTTCCATTTCTCCCTATCTTTCCTACCTGCCCCCTTCCCCTTTTGCTCTTTGGTCTTCTTTTGTCTTCAGCCTGTTCAGCAAAATCGGAGTTCTTGTCAGGCATAGGACCTCACTGTTTGGTAAGGAGACCCCTGGACAAGCACCCGCACACCCTCACGGGGCGGTTCCCAAGCAGGGGGCGGTTTCTGAGGATGCCGACCAGGGGTCAGACTTCCTTCAGGCTGCGGATACAGCAATAAGCCCTCAAAGAGCTGAGCGGTTTGGGCCAGAATGAGATGTTAACCCAGGGACATCACCAGAGAGGAGGAGCAGGTGTAGGAGCCGTGAGCATCACAGGCAGGAGAGGCCTCGGGAGGTGGGGAAGGTGGCCTGAGAGAGGAGTGTCTGGCTGGAACTCTGAAGGATGGGCAGCTGCCTCCATGGCGGGGATGAGGGATCGGCAAGTGAATGGACTGTAGGGGACCCTGTGCCAGTCGGCAATGACAGTACATGCCGGGACCTGGGCAGAAAGGGAATCCACACGGTCAGGGAGCAGAGAGAGGCCCCTGAGGCTGAAGCACAGGGAGCCGCAACTTGCTCAGGGATGCGAATGGAGCCCACAGGAGCCGGACTAGGGACCGGGCACGTGGCCGGATGAAGAATTCTGCTCTTTATTCTAAAGAAATGGGAAGCCACTGGGTGAGTAGGCGTGCACATGAGGCTGTGTTCTGGGAAGACCGGATGGTCTGCGGGGATTCAGAGAGAACAGTGCTCCCTGGCGGCAGGAGAAACACGACACGCCTGCAGGTGGCCTGGGGAACTGGCACGTAAGAAATCATTTCTGTCCTCACCTCCTGGAGAACGCCCTGCACACACAAACGTACAGTGCTTTGCTGAGTGACGTCAGTAAGGCATTAGGTTTATTTTCATAAGGAAAAGTGAAGCCTTAAGAAGTGCCGCTGTGCCCCGTGCCACCATCGCTGCCCTCGCAGCCTGACCCCGCCTCCACTAAAGCCGCTGAAAGGCTGCCCTGGGCTGGAATGCGAGGGGTTTGTCTTCTCTAACTGCCTGGAAATCAGGGATGAGAGTTCCTGAGCAGCAGTGGGGGGGGGGGGGGGGGGATTAAAGGCACTCGCTCCTCAGTCAGCAATGGGTCATCAGTATGAACTTACAACCACTAGCAAGCATTCCAGAGTCCAACAGCCAAGCCTATATGTACACAAGATGCTACTTTTTCATTATTTTCCCCATAAACCGTTTTAATGGATACACGAGAACTACTGTTCTGTGGGGAATGAGGCCTGTCCCCCTTGTTAAAACCTTACCTTTTTTAATATAAAAAGAATGGCATGAAAACACTAATGTCTTTAATTCTTAGAGAGTGTGCTTCAAAAGACAGGAAATATTTGGATTAAAGATAAACTGTATTAAGTCCAAGTTTTAGGCTTCCTCACTCTATAGATTAGAGATATCTCTCACCCTGCCCAGTGTGGCTCTGCTGGTTTGATTCCCTGTCAGGGCACACGCCCGGGGTGCGGGCTCCATCCCCAGTAGGGGGCGTGCAGGAGGCAGCCGAACAATGATTCTCTTGCATCATTGATGTTTCTCTCTTTCCCCTTCCTCTCTCTAAAATGCAATAAAAAAAATTTTTTTTAAAGAAAAGCATTTCAAACCCAGGAGAGACTTGTAGATGTAACTACCATTTGGCATCCAACTTGGATAAATATTCCATTACTTATCAAACTAGCTCACCACAGGCACTGCCACTAGCTCACCACGAGCGCCACCAACAGACAAGAGTCTGGTCCCCTGGTTTTTTTTAAAGCTCCCCTTGGTCTCAATTGCACTTTTCTCACTCATTTCATGAGTTAGGAACATGGCTCTCTCTACACTTCACCTGTGCTCAAAGACAAAACCAGAGAATTATTTGTCAACTTTCCGTCCTGCCTGGAACCTCTTCCAGGTGAAAGCTGTGCGGTTACAGCTCACCTGGCACTTGAACGCTCATCACCCAACACTGGACTGATACGTGCCAGAGCTCTAAGATTAGGCTACCTATTTTAGTCTGGTTCAAAAATAAAAGCCGAAGTTCAGAGACAGCAAGTCCTTGTCCAGACCAGTCCGCTGGCTTAGTTACACACATAGGACTTGCACCTGGGTTTTCTGGCTCAAAGCCCACACCGTTCCCTCCAGGACACCATGAGTGTCTGCGCCAGGTTATAGCTGCGTCGTCTGAAGGTTACGTGTCTAATGGAGGTGGGTAGGGGGGTGAGGACATCTGTAATAATGTCAACAATAAAAATAAAGTTAAACCAAGAGGGCACCTGCAGGTGCTTCGGCATAGAGTTACCGGGTGCAGGGGTCAACTCCATCCCCCAGGACTCAGGGGAGTGTGTGAGGAACTCGCAGCTACGCCAGCAGTTCCCCGACAGCTTCCATAAGGCACCCTAGTTACACATGCTCTGCGAGTGTGAGGGAGTGGGCTCCCGAGTGTGAGGGTTGATAATGCGGTGTCAAAAAACAACAGAAAAGCTTTCAGTAGCTATTAAAGAAATAAACACAGATTAAAGATAAAGTGTTTAAATATATGTGTACATATTTAAAAAAATAAAGTTTACATGTCTTAGACTTAAAGATTCTAATAACTGGACATGTCTATATTGTAGTATGTTTGGCCTCTTGGAGTTTGTGTTATTTTACAGGAAAATGCCAAAGCAAATTTGAAACAATAACAGATATCAAAATAATATAAAGAATTCACAAAAATATGGTGTTGAAGAACAGTTACATAGTAGCTCTCCAAAAAGTTCCTGTTAAAAACTTTTTAAAAATGGGTACAGACACAGGTGACATTTCACAAGCTATGGCACCAGGCTGTCCTGAACACTGTGTACTTGGTGCCTGTGTGGAATACCTCAGAAATTAACAAAAGGAAATTATATAGTGAGATAACCCAGGAAACCAAGCGTTTCCTATAGGTAAGAAGTTAGAAGCCACGTAACGGCAGTATTATGCTCATTCACAAGAATGCAAAAAAGTGCAGCTGAGCCCTGGCCGAGTGGCTCAGTTGGTTGGAGCGTCATCCATACACCGAAAGGTTGCAGGTTTGATTCACGGTCAGGGCACATAACCAGGTCGCCGGTTTGATCCCAGGTTGGGGTGAGTGCCGGAGGCAACCAATTGATGTTTCTTTCTCTCTCTCTCTCTCTCTCTCTCTCTCTCTCTCTCTCTCTCTCTCTCTCTCTCTCAACATACCCTTGGGTTAGGTTTAACAAAAACAGTGCAGCTAGAAACCTTGTCCTTATCAAGCTCTATATGAGGTCACACTCCCTAAAGACAAACGGAAGATGTTGGAATCCACTGTTACTGTGAGAAGGTGGAGTACATGAACATTCTGTATGAAATGTTTCTCGGTTGAAGAGAAGTCCAACCAAAGTTAGTCTCCCGGGAATTATGCAGAAGATAATGTCCACCCTGCCCTGGTGGCTCACCGGTTAGAGTGTCATCCCCGGTTTGATCCCTGGTCAGAGCACATACAAGAATCAACCACTGAATGCATACATACTAGTAAGTGGGACAACACATCAGTGTTTCTCTTTCTCTTCCCTTCCTCTTTCTCTCTCTGAAATAAATTTTAAAAAAAAGATGATTTCCACATTAATTTTGGATAACTGAAACATTAATGCAAAAATTCAGGCAATCTATATGAAATATAACTTATAATAACTAAATTTAAAAACACCAAATATTGGATGCAATTATAATGGAAACCAAATATGTCAAGTAATTATATTCAGAAACTGTAATTTCTCAAAAAATTTAATGTTTAGAACTTACAAGTTATTTGTGTGTATTTATGTATGTACACACACATATATATATACCTATTCCTCAGTTATTCACTGTGCCCTTGATAGAACTCTTAGTTTTCCCTGTAAATGGAGTTAAGCTGATAGCACCTTTTTCAGGGCACTGAATGCCTTGTTACTGAGGTCACCCTAACTCTGCCTTGAGAGCTCACATATGGAGCTCGCGTGTACTTGGCCAGCTGACCACAGCAGATGGAGGGAAGGTCCCACTCAGCTCTGTCAGCCTCGCGGAGTCCCCTCAGCGAGGACATGGGGGAGGGAGTGGCCACCCTGCACGCAGTGGAGGCAGGTGCCAGAGTGTGGACTTCAGCTCGGTGAACTCAGAAACCAACAGAAACTGACTATGGGCTGAGTGGTTCTAGAAAAGTCACTTTGGCTAAGTGAATCCTTGGCCTCGCTGTCTACTCTGAGGCTCCATGTCTGAAATGCAGTCGGCATGCACATGGGTAGTCCAGAGCGTTAAACGTAAGTGCAGGGAAAATTTTTTCACCTATAACAGCTCGTTACTGAGTCGATCCGAGATCAGCAAACACGCATTCAAGGTCCCTGTTAAGCTGCTCCCTCTGATATAAACATGGCACGCACTGCCGTCCCCAGTCCCTTGCTCGGTAATGGTACAACCTTTGGGTTTTCACGTGAACAGTGGACGAGTATAAAAAGCTGGTCTCCCATTTCACCACTGGGCAGGCTCCTGAGGAAGGACCTGCAGGCCCGGGGCCAGGCCCAGGACGAGCACATGCAGCCATGCCCACGTGCGCGCATGCAACACCGCACACCACACAGTGCTGACGCGAAGGACCCAGTGAGGCCATGCGGGTGCTTGTCCAGGGGTCTCCTTACCAAACAGTGAGATCCTATGCCTGACAAGAACTCCGAGTTTGCAGAACAGGCTGAAGACAAAAGAAAACCAAAGAGAAAGGGGGAGAGGGGGGAGGTAGAAGAGACAGGGAGAAATGAAAATAAAATGAAAAGAAAAAAAAGAAGAAGAAAAAAGAAAAATAAACAGCTGATCTATGAGCCGGAAAAAGCAACATGATGTCACGCAGAAAGTACTGATTCTCCAAGCAGAATATGGAGTAAAGGTATTAAAGAAAGTTTCTGAGTGCATATCTTTAACAAACATGGTTAAAAAAGCACATATTATAAGAAACAAAAAAAAATTAAAAGCAAAGCTAATTAATATAAAAGCAATCTATATGAAACCCGCAAAAATATAACTAAAGAAAAACCACAAAGAAAAGATTTATCTGTCCAAATGTACTATTGAAATTCTAGAATTGGTGGTTGTACATTATTTAACAACAGAAATGTGGTGCTTTGGGCATAAAACGTTATGTTAAGTTTGAGTGTGTTTCATCACTTGGACTTTGCCTCTCCCCAACCTTGAGCCCTTACACATAACACTCCCGTCCCTCCCAACCAAGCATTTCCCAAAGGCCGTTCCTGAATTTCTGTCTGCATCTGTCTTCCCAGGTAACGGACGCTGCCCTCACATCCACCTCTGCACTCTGCGGAGACACAGTCCTGACGCTGTCACCTTGGACAGGGATGTGACGGCACCACCCACATCCAGCCCGACTTCCCAAGCACGGTCAGCGCTGGTCCTGGCTGCCCTCCTCCCGGCACAGCTCTCCCAGGACCAGCGTGGCAGCATGGGGCACCGCCGCCGCCAGGGAATAAACAGGGCAACTAGCTGCTCGTGACAGGCTGGCAGAAAGGAGGCCGAGAAAATCACACCTGTGATGCTGACTCCCCTAAGAGAGTGTGGCCTCGTATCTCACTGCAGTTACAAAGTGGACTCATTTATAAGTGAAAGTCATCACACGGGGGGAGTCTCTCCAGTGCTGGAAGTTCTAAACAGCCATCTACTCGGGCAGACACCCGATTTCATGGCATCAGCCCTGCGCTGTTATCTGGACAACAAAACAGAACACGAGCAGCCTCTCCAGATGCCTCACCACAGAGCTCCACGTGAGGACTGACCGCACCAGGATTTGCCTCAGCTGAAGGGGAGCGACCACATCTCAGAACTGCACACATTCTGGATTTATCTTGAGATACCGTTGACCTCTCACTAGGGGGTGCTCTCTGGTGTCCTGGGGAAGCTTCCTGAGACATGCTGAATTCGCAGCACAAGGGCTGTGTTTTTCCCGAGCAAGCCAGACCTGGGACACTTTGCTGTGATGTCAAACAGAACTGCTCTGTATCCCATGCCGTTAGGTGACACTTAAGTCTGAGACCCCGTCAGAGAAAAGTGACCTCTTCCATCAGCTGCTCCTAACAGTACCTGATGTGCCCCCTGTGAGAATCAGCGACATATAGAAAGCTGGCCCTCCTGTGCTGTCACTTTCAGGGTGTACGTTTGTTTGTTATGAGCTCTGGCCTACCCTTTCTCTAAAAATCCTATATAATAAAAGGCTAATATGCAAATCAACCGAACGGCAGAACAACCAGTCGCTACGACGCACACTGACCACCAGGGGGCAGACACTCAACGCAGGAGCTGCCCCTGGTGGTCAGTGTGCTCCCACAGGGGGAGCGCTGCTCAACCAAAAGCCAGGTTCACAGCTGGCAAGCGCAGCAGCAGTGGCGGGAGCCTCTCCTGCCTCTGAGGCAGTGCTAAGGATGTCCGACTGATGGAGCGGGCCTAAGCCGTCAGTCAGACATCCCCCGAGGGCTCCTGGACTGTGAGAGGGTGCAGGTTGGGCTGAAGGCCCCCCCTGAGTGCACGAATTTCATGCACTGGGCCTCTAGTATTTCCATAATACTTGGTCCTCTCTCTCTCCCCTCATGACTAACACTGGAGAATTTATGTGGGTTCTCCCTCAGCATCGCTACTCACTCGCTGGCTCCAGCACCCCTTGCTGCCCTGCCACTGCTCCCCACTGAGCACCCTGAGGGCCTCAGGACCGACCAGCACACCGACCTTCTCCATCTCCATGTGGCCTCACTGGCTGTGGAACCTGTGACACTCGGATTCAAGCATTTCTCCACCAAACACATATTTCCAACTTTGGCTGGATCTCCAGATGAACAAGCTGCTACTAGCCAATAAATACCAAACCAAACTTAACCGCTTCCTGAAACTGGCCCTTCTGAAACTCCTCCAGGGTGCCAGTGACACAACAGTGTCGACTGCCCAGCCTGGCACCTCAGCACCACGCTGGCCTGCCTCTCGACTTGCCTGGTTGGCTGTCTCTCTCTGTGTCTCTCACACCCAGCCCCTCTTCCCACTCACACAGTGCCCTCTACACCCCAGCACTTCATACATGTCCCACCTCCATGCATCACCCTTATTACATGGTGAGCTCCACGTGTCTGCGTCATTCAGCCGTACTTCTGAGTTCATGACAATTAAGGACTGTGTCCTTGCATATCCCTGGGTTAGGGCAGCACCATATCCAGGGCCAGGACAGCACCGCGTCCCGGGCAGGCATTCAAGAGTCTCTGCGGAAGGAGCCCGAGGGGCCCCGCACTGGCAGTGGCACTTGTGTTACGGGGCCTCCACTGCCTGCGTGGCCCAGCCCGCCCTTCCGCTCCCCTGCTCCTGCCAGAAGCCCCGGATGGTCATTCTCCCCTGGGAGAGGCTTCAGTGGCTTCTTAGTGCTGATCAATTAAGTGAAAACATTCATGAAAATTCAAAAGATGGAAGATGTCAATGACAACAGTTAATGCCAATGACAACATTCCACGGTGAATCCACATTCCCTGAACCTGCCCTGGTACCAGACGGTGAAGCTGCTCTGGTTCACTTGGTGAGGGTAGGTCAGCAAGGACGAGGGCCCTGTGGTCCGTGAGCAGTTCTGGGAGTAGGACTGACAATGGCACGGAGGCAGCAGACAGAGCAGGCGAGGGGGAGAAGCGGCATGTGTACAAGTCTCTGTATTGTTCCTCTGTCCTCTGATGGCTTTGTCTCCTGATTTATGTAACTGAGCAGTATCTGTATGACCGATGCCCTCGGGAACACACTGTGTGTGACAAAGGCTGACTGGGCCCAGGGAGGACAAGGACACTCTGCAGTGGCCCTGGGGGCATGGGTCAGTGGGAACTTGGCGCCCTGTGAGCACTCACTGTCCAGGGGACCTGGGCCCAGGAGCTGAGGAAGGCCCGTGAGGTGAGTGGACGCCCCTTGGGACATATTCATTGTACATCAGTTTTATCAACATTGCGGGTAGATTTTTACTTGACTGAGTTTGGGGACATTTTAATGCTATTGCAATCCTCTATCACACGACTGGCTACCTACTGGCTGGAAAACAGATAATGTATCTGAGTAAAGAGATGAGTTTAAAATTCCATTCAAGTCCCCATTCCCAATGTCACTAATGCAGAAGTCTAATTCTTCACTCGCTGCACCCAGTCCCATCTCCTCTATCCGACAGCCTGCACGGCACTGCCATCCAGCATATCATTAATGCCGAGCCCAAGGAAAACCCGTGCCTGCTTCGTACGGGTGAGGCATGTCCAGAAAAGTGTTTCCGCTGCAGCTAGAGCTGGGCCCTGCCCAGACAGCGCAGCCACGAGGAAAAGGCTCCCTCAGTCAAGCTTCTCGTGTGCAAGTTCTGGGAGAATTCTGGGTTCACACTGGAAACCCCAGGGCAACCCCAGTAAATCTATGACGAATACTTAGATTTAAACGAAAATGAGAAAGCGCTGCTACCATGCCAGCTAGAGCAGGGCAAGGGGAATGCTCGGAAAGGCTGCACTGACTTCACTTTCTTCCAAGAGTTGACATTATTTTTTTAATACTTAAAATTATAACTTTTGTAAATGGGATTTTGCCCTCCTAAAAAATTAAAGTTGGTAAAAATATGAGATCGGAAAGAATTTTAATAAATTAATGTTAAAAGCACCATCTTTCCAACCTCCTAACACAGGGGTGCTCTCGAGCCTCCACCTGTGAATTGTGTGTGTATTTTAGTCCTTCCATTCAGCAGCGAATACAGAAAACCTCACTGTCTAGATCACATGGATTAACCTGCTGAAACTGTCATCCCCGGGGTCTGAGAGCAGGTGGACGGCCAGGCAGAGGCACTGGACACAGCTGCTCAGGCCAGCGCTCCTTCCCCAGGGTGCGCCCGGCTCCGCCCCGCCCCCCAACAGTCTGTGTGCACAGCTGTTTACCTCGTCACCATTTCCTTCTCCTTGTTTGACGCATGTCCTCCAGAGCACAGCGGTCTGCTCGCTGCAGACAGGAAGTATAAACGATGGTTTTTGAAATACTGATCAATTAGAGGCAGGACAACCTGAAAGGAAGGAAAAGAAGGCAGGTGTACACAGTGGAGTTTGGGGGGTGAGTGAGCGCTGAGGCTGGAGCAGGCAGACCATGTCCACATGCAACAGGTCCCAATCCCCGCAGCCGCACCAGCCCCCGCCAGGGAGTGGCTCTCACCTGGCCCTGCTCCTGCCTGCACATCCCCCACTGGGGATGTGCCCGCAACCCAGGCACATGCCCCTGACCGGAATCGAACCTGGGACCCTTCAGTCCCCAGGCCGACGCTCAGCTGTTTGGAATGATTTTTAGTATTTTATCAAAATGAAATATTCTTAATAATCCATACATGCCATTTGGTCGCAATCAATGACTGCCAATTGTGGGCCTCTGCCACGTGTGAGCACGGCAGTGACATCTGCATGCAGCCCACCCGCTGAGACTCTGTGCGGCAGTGCCATCCCTTCTCTGCTGGTGCAAACTGAGGTGCAGACAAGGCGTGGTCCCCTCAGAGTCGCCTCCCACTTCCTGCGCCAGCCCTGGGGGCCTTGGGTGACCTCCTCCCGCCCTGCCCACTTAGCCACAGGCTGGGCCCGGGCCACGCCCTCTGTCTGCAATGCTCCTCCCTCGCCCGCGACAGTCCACTCCGTCCTGCAGGCCTCCTCTGGGCTCTTCCACAGGACGCCCTTGCTCGCTCCTCAACTGGACAAGGCCTCCCCATCCCCGGCTCTTGCAACACCCTCTGCAGTTTTACACCCTCTGTGATCTGGGATTAGTCTCTCTCCCGCGGTCTCTGGGACACAGAGAACAAGAAACTTCTGAGTTTGTTCCCCCTCAGACCTTTCCTGGACCCTGTGACCACCATCTCGCAGGGTCATTTACCACGAAGCACCAATGCTGAGGGTTCTGCTGTGCACGTAACAACCAGCAGACCAATGTGTGTTGAACAAATAAATGAAAAAAGTAAGGCTAAATGGCATTCCCAGCACTGAGACTCAAGTCTCTCTCACTACATTGTCCCCTACAAGGTGGTGCAGAATATGTATACAGGACAGGAACATGGACGTCTGGTGATCTTCCTAGAAAGTTGAGACATTGCCTGAACTTAGTGATTGGCATGTGATACGTACTCAACAAATACGTGAATGAATGAGTCATAGGTTTAGTAGACATTAAGCCACACTAGGCACCGGCAAACAAAATCACTAGGGTGCTGAGGACTCGGGCGATGCAATACAAGGATGTCTTTAAACAGGGTGCAGGCCATGAATTCAGCATCCCCACCCCTGACTACCCAGCGGTTTGTGTCACAGTGAAAGAGGCGACTGGCAGCGTGCAGCTCAGAATAAACTTCGGATGCCTCATGCAGACCTTGAGCAGAAGAAAAGACCAGAGAAATCTCCCTGGCAGTAAAAGGCACAATTCTAAAAACGTAAGACGGGAGCCAAATGTAAGTCAATCGGAAGAATGTGCCATTTTGCAAACAATTTCTAATGCGAGTGCTTTGAAAGGAAATTGGCAGACGTGATTAGGTCTTTGGGTTAATTGCAACATCCTGTCCACGGGAAAGTGTCCAGGGCATTCTGTGTCCGTGACAGAGATGTGCCAGGACAAGGTCTGATGCCTGACAGGCCAGGCACAGTGCACACACAGAGAAAGTCAATAAACTAACATGGAAACTTGACAACAAACTCTGCACCTTCCCCAGTGGCTAAAGTGATCAATGCTCAGGGCAAATAGCAGATTCTTGATAAATTGTGTTACATGGAATGAACACTCAGTATCTGACCAACAGGTGGTCTCTGAGCCTCAGTCTCCCCATCTGTAAGCCAGCAGACTAAGGCCCCACCATAAAGGTCCTATTGTGACTGTCCTTTTCATGTTCCCGGTTACAAATCAGCTGGTGTTTTTCATCTTTCTGAAAGAAATGCTCAACTAAAAATGTTCAATCATAACAACATTCCAATACTAAGAAATGGGTATTTTCTTCTATGTTGTATGATAAAGCCGGAAAAGGAGAACTCTGAGAACTCAGGCAGGGAGGCAGAGCGAGCTGCGGGAGCCCATCGCCCACACAGTGCATGCAGCTGTGGGTGCCACAATCTGCAGGCTTGAGAAGAAGTCACACTTAAAGGCAGGTGCGTTCTGAAAAGAGGCGAAAAGCTAACGGTGTCCTCTGTAAGCAAACACACGGAAGCGAAAACAAGACGGACGGTATACTGTACTTTGGCAAAGAACTTGATTTCTTGCTCGTAAGGGAAGCGCTGTCCTTTGCCTCTGCTGCCGCCATCTGCAGACGGGAGAGAGTGTTCAGGAACATGGGCACGTCCAGCATCCCAATCCCCACCCGCACGCAGAGTTCCCAGCACTGAGGAATGTGCTACCCCACCGAGTGGATGTGAAAAGCCAACCAGAAACACACAGGCTAACTTTGGCAGTGTAGTAAGAAATAAAAAGGAATTTAAACAAACAGCCAAATCAATTAAAAAGCAACTGAGCAGAGCCCAGCTACGTGTCTGTGAGCACAGACACCCAGCGCAGCGCCAAGGGCTCAGTGGCCTGGAGAGAAGAATGGGAACAGAACAAGGACGACTACCCATCTCAGCAGCAGGTCCCACAGCTGGGCTGAGAGAGTGCCTCTAAGCTGAGCGACTTCCATAAGCAAAGCAAAAACACCCAGGTCTCCCCAGGGCCCAGAAAATGATCTCGAGGTTCAGAATCGATTGACCGAAGGCATTTAGCTCAGAGGTGGCCTTTTCCTCCCTCCTTCAAGCATGCAGAGGGGGCTTCGTGCACACAGAAGAGGGAATGATACACGAAGGACCACCGTAACGTGCAGCACATGGTGCAGAGGGAGCAATTCAAAGTTGGATATGGGGTTTTAGTAAAATTCGTAGGCAGAGCCTCCATATTTTTAAGAATCAAACTAACTTGCCTGAAAAAGTTCTTTTGCAAACAGAAGTCAAAACCATCTGAGAGATACACTATCAAATCTTAGACACATTCAGGGTAGTTTTTAGAAACTTTAAACAATAATTTGTAATATCACAACAATGTTCTTCCCGTGAATAAGTAAAAGAAAACAATGGCGTTTTAAGACTTGCTAAGTTCATTTTTGCTGTCACTTTTGCATTAAATCTCTCCCACGCGTGTCACACAAATGGCTGGGTCCATGTAAGGGACTGTTGGCTGTCGGTGGCAGGACCGAGATACCTACCAAACTCCAAGATATACTGATGGGCTTCGTCCACGTAGCGGATGAGCTGCTGAAGGAAGCTGTAGGCAAATCGCTTCTCAATCGTAGGCGCATCCAACTCCAGGTCCTTGAACCCTCTAGAAGAGCAGAATGAAAATGGAAAGCAACATCCACAAGACTATTAGGAGGTAAATAGTTAAGAAAATGTTATGTTACATATACTAATTTAGACGATTATTTAATATTCTGTAGCTAAAGGCAAAGGTGAGATTTAGTTTATAAGGACTATTTTGAATACTCTGATGTAAAACTGTAGCTAATAACTTTATTACTATGCAATAAACTTTATTACTGTGCTGCCTTTAGAAAAGCAGAGCGTCGTTTCTGCCTGGATAATGGATGGGGAGTAACAAGCTCTAAGGACTCTGGCAAACAGCGACGGGCACTGATGGTTCTGATATGTGCGTTTGAGGCAGGAAATAGTAGCGCTGAGGTTTAAACAGGTCGCTGACTTCATTCTTGGCCTTAATGAACCTGACAGGGATGTATAACCAGTCTTACAAGGGGACTGACTGGGGCATGTGGGCTTCTACCTGGACACAGCGTAGCCGTTGATCTGCAAGAACTTGAGGATGTCCTGTGCTTTCTCCCGGTCCTTGGCTTTCTCTTTGGCGGTCAGCGTATCGTAAGGCACCAGCAGGGGGTGGTTCCCGCCTCCTAAGAGAATGTCCAGACAAGAACACAGAGTAGCAGCGGGAAGTCATCTGGAATGAGACACGCTGCCTATGTCACAGGGCCACAGCACAGAGCTCCTGTGCCCTCTCCTTGCACGAGGATAAAGGGCTCACGCGGGCTCTTCCCCCCAGCGCCAGAGTGTTCCAAGGAAGACGGCCATGGGCCTCGGGAGGCAATGACACCGTGAGCACCAGGCTTTCCTGACAGTAGTGCCCACAGCACCCGCAGCCACGGGAGGGAGAAGAGGCGGGGCTCCCTCCCAGCTGAACATCCCAATAATTTGAAGGTGTAATGGCTCAGGTGCTAAAGCATCTATTTCACCCCGGCAGTGGGACTCTGCGTTTCAGTGAGGATTTTTTTAAAATATTACCTTTGGACTCCAGTTCCATTTTCTTCTTCTTTGCCCATATATTATGGTAGTTTTCAGCCATCATTTCTGCCATAGCCTTAAGTGAACAAAATATTTAGCAACTCAGTTATGTTTGAATAAGTAGAAAAGGGTAACTTGGTTTTCCAATGTGTAATATGAAAACATGCTTTAAATTAATAAGACAAAGTGTGTTGGTGATGAAGTACTTCCAGAAAATAACCAAACACAGCTGTCTTCCTTGGAGCCTGACTCCCAGAGGACGGGAATGATGGGGAAATGACAGCAACAGTGGAGGAAATTTGAAGGGAATGGTCATTGTTAGTTTTAATGTTTAAAGACACGTGTTTGATTAATTCAATCATGGAACTTCAAATTAGCTATGAACTTCAACAACAAAAAAGTATTTACCACTTTTTCTTTTAATTTCCAAAGCTTCGGAAGATAACCTAAACCTTATTAAACACCGACGGCAGAGAACATCAGACAAGTAGTCTAGATTTTCATCTCAGGGCACACACATAAGTTAATTACTAAAATGTGTGGCACACCAAAAAATTTATTTTTTGCCAATTTGACAAAAATATGTATAAGTTTGATTCAGTCACACTGAGACATGGAAGCATAGAATAGACCAACTGAGGAATCTCAGAGGGAAGGGAGGAGGGGGGACAGGAAGAGATTAACCAAAGAATTTATATGCATATGTGCATAACCCATGGACACAGACAATAGTGCAGGGAAGCCCTGGGGAGGGAGTAGGAAAGGGGTCAATGGGGGTATAAGGGGGACATCTGTAATACTTTCAACAATAAAGATAAATAACACACACACACACAACAACAACAACCCACAAGATTTGCAGAATATTTTAAATAGTAGCCAATACTTACATGCAGGTCCCTGGACAGTGTGACATTGCTCATGTCAATGGCCCGGGGGCTGTACCCATGAGCAGCATCCACAGAAACCTAAACAATTTGTGTGAAAAGTAGTATCTCATTAAAACGCCCTGCGGAGAGAGACTTGCAAGGTACTACCGAAATATAAGGCAAAAGGACTTCCAAACACACTTCCTCAGACAAAACTGGCAAGTATCTACACAAACAGATCCCACAAACATATCTAGCAAATTAAATTATATTTGGGTGCCTGACAATTACTTGTGACTGCATACCAATCCCCGGCATCTTCAGGGTTGCCAACTCCAAAAGCTAATAATCAGCATTCAATTGTGCAATGATTCTAAGATTCCAGAATGTTCCCTTAATCAAAGGATCTTTGTGTTCTTGAGTTTCTTACAAATTCTACTTGGCTGCAATGAACTTTACTCTTTCTCACATAACAATAATTAATCAAAGAGGTCAATATTTACAAATGTCTTTATGAGCTAAATGTTAAGATAAAATATAACCAGCTTTTTTACTTTTAAAAGTATAACATATACAGGGTGTCCCCAAAAATGTAATCATACTTTGAATAATTATTAATTCCAATGGGTTAAACCTGAAAAGCAAGAAACATCAATTGAGCTATCTGCTGTTAAAGTGTGTATACATTTTTGGGGGACATATACTAGTATTCAATGATTTACAAAGGTTTCCTATAACCAGAAAGTTTCCTTAATTTTTAAAGTTTGGCATTTATAAAATGAAACATATCTTCTTATCAACGGTAACAAGGTTCCGCTGTCCTGTGCTCTGAGCACATTCCTCCAATGGCATATTAGGTGACAGTGTGTCATGCCTATAAATCTAAAATTATACCTTAACAGATTTCACAGTATAGTTGTATGATTATATAAATACTAGAGGCCTGATGCATGAAATTCGTGCAAGGGGCTCAGCCCTCGCAGCCACAGCGGCAGCCCCAACTTCGTCTGGAAGGTTGTCCAGAAGGTTGTTCTGCTGTTCTGTCTAATTAGCATATTAGCTCTTTATTATATAGGATACATTAGACATACTTCATGATGTATGCATATTGTTATATTTCATATGTGTACTCTCTTGTTAGACATGGATAAACATGAAACAAAATGAAAGCTACAATAAAACGCATATCTGGGCTTGTGAAACCAAACGAAGGCTGTTGCAGGCCATCACTAACAAAGGGCTCCCGGCTGCATTCAATTCTCTGCACTCCTACTGCCTCGTACTCAGTCTGTGCTCAGTATGTGTTCAAACACATGAAAACAAAATGTAGTTTGATGAAAAGGTAAAATATGCTTTTACAGTTTCCATTTATATGATACCTACTTAAGAGAACTTTAGGTAAAATATGCCCAAATCAGAACTTAATCTATTTAAAAATGTATTTCAAATACGTGTTTCATGTGCTTTTTCCCCAAAAACATCTCTATAAATGGCACTATAAACACAATAGTCTGTGTACCCAGATACAGTGGCCTGAGCAGTCCGGACAGGGACCATCACAGACTTAGCTTCAGGAAAACGAAAGGACCAGAGCTTAGAGTTGGTGTTTGGTCTGACCTTGAACCCAGGTTCTCCAGGTCTAGGCCGTGCCTCCTGGAGCAGCGGTCGCCAATCAGTGGTCTGTGAGGTCTGAAAGGTTGGCGATCACTGTCCTGGAGCACTTAGCCGCACATCTAGCAGCTTGCTGAGGGGACGGGGCTTCCTGGATGTGCCATTAGTGATGAGCTCTGGGAACTCCGGCCCTGACTGCCTGGGTGCGCAGCAGACCTTTGCAAGTGGCAGGTGCTCAAGCTCCCCTGGATGGCACAGCCACGTGGGCTCGAGGTCGGGATCACTTCTGCCTGGCCTCCCACTTCTCCCTAAGGACCAGCCTTCAGCTCTTACTGGAGAGGAGAAAGTTCTAGACAACCCACTTGCAGGTAGTGAACACACTACCGCTTTCACTGGTGCAACTTCAAGACTGTACCCCTGGGGACCCCTTCACAGCCTGGCCAGGTAAGGGCGGCCTGGCTAACCTCTCTAGCACTTTAACCAAGACGTCACGGAAAATTATAAAAAGGAACAAATGTGTTTTTCCCTCTAAACTTTACGTTAATCTTCAGAATTTTCAAATTATTTGTTTTGAAACTTTTTTTTTGTTTTTATTTACTTTTATAAGTAAATAAAAGATTAGAATTATCTTACAACAGCATAAACCAGGGGTCCTCAAACTTTTTAAACAGGGGGCCAGTTCACTGTCCCTCAGACCGTGGGAGGGCCGGACTATAGTTTAAAAAAAAAAAAACTATGAACAAATTCCTATGCACACTGCACATATCTTATTTTGAAGTAAAAAAACAAACGGGAACAAATACAATATTTGTATTTGCATGTGGCCCGTGGGCCGTAGTTTGAGGACCCCTGGTATAAACCATGGCTTCCGGGCGGTGCTCTCACCTGGCTGGTCTGAGAGATGCGCCGGGTCCGGTGGTAGAGGGCCATGCTGTCCCCCTCCCGCGTGCGCTCAATTCTCCAGCCCCAAGCCAGCATCGTTTTCAAAGATTCTTTGATTGGCCAGCGATAGATTTCTTTTTCCTACAGACAAAAAGGAGGAGAAAATAAAAGGTGTGGGGGAATATTAAGAATCCAAGTAAAAATAAAAATATTTAATGCTTTGCTCTGTAATAGACTGACTTCATTTTTTTAAAAAATGATTGAACCCGTGGACACGACAATGGCATGCGTGGTGAGGGCCTGGGGGGTGGGGGGAAAGGACGAGTGGGCTGGAAGAGGTTCATGGGGGAAAAAGGAGGACCTATGTAATACTTTCAACAACAAAGACTAAAAGAAAAAGAGTCAAGAAAGATTAAAAAAAACCACGATCGACATGTTCATTCAAAAATAAAAAGGAAAGTGAAAATGAGAGTGTGAGCAGGCCCTGGTCTGACAAATGCTAACGGGTCCCTGCTCATCTCAGCCCAGGGGCTGGTTTCCCTCCGCGACCCAGCTCCTGACACTTTAGACAGAACTGAAAGGAGAAACACAGTCAGCAAAGCGCAGATTAGATGACAGGCGCATGAAGGCTCTCCTCCCATCGTAATCAAGAGACCTAACTGTCCTTCCTAAGCCCCTTTGTCTCCATCACCTCCTCCACCAACTCACTACCTAGAAGAGCTAGACACCCTTCCACCTCACTCTCAAGAAGCTGATTACCCAAAAAATAACAACACTAAGAGATGACTTCATTAAACCTCAGCAAGACACTCTCAGGAATGAAAAGAATATTTTCTCAAGTTCTTAAAAATGCAGGAGAGGAATAAAAATCAAAAAGGAACAGAAAAATATTAAGTAGAGAAGAAAATAACCAATTAAACAATGACAGAAAATGGGAATAGAGGGGGGGAAAACAAAAGATAAAAGATACAAAAGAAGCCTTGGAATAAAAGTTAAAGATAGTATATATAAAGTAAAAAAGAGATTTTAATAGAAAATTACATAACAAAATTTTTTGAAAAAAAATTAAAACTATATAACCTAAAAAACCCTCACCTTTTCAGATAATAGTTTATATGGCTTCATTAATGGTTGAACTTTAGATGAGTCTGAATAAGTTTCTCCATAAATCCATCCATTGGCCAACTAAAAAAACAAACATCAAAATCGTTTTGCATGTATTAATTTTAGAGAGTGTATGTGTGCAGGTGTTTAAGTGTGCACATGATGAAATAAACCTAAAATGCACCAAGGTAAGGATTAAGGTTTGAATTTTATCCAGCATAATTTAATATAAAAATTGCCATCCCAATCAACATTATGTTGAGGAATCCCTGGAACACCTCGACCAGGGCCAGGGAACCTGCAACCAAGGTACGTGCCCTTGACCAGAATGGAACCTAGGACCCTTCAGTCGGTGGGCCGGCGCTCTATCCAATGAGCCAAACTGGCCAGGGCTGAACACCAATATTCTTATTCATAAGTGTATCGTATGTGTATTAGTGGCAGAGCTAGCTAATATTATATTAGCAAGTCATTTAAAAGTTCTTTCCTAATCTAGATAAAGCTCTCCCTTTAACGGAGAAAACTGTGTGGTCAGAACTGGGGGGCCCAGTGCCGCTCGGTGCCGCTTGAAGAGGCCTCTGACCTTACCTTGTCCATGGACCACCTGTCGTGGGAGTGCTCAGCATATTTGTTAATGAAGTATTCCAGCTTCTCAGGAATCGTAATACTGTGGGAGAAACAGAGAAAAGGCTTGGTGCTCACAGGATCGCAGGGACTCACATTAATAATTTACTCACAGCCCCTGAATGCTTAAATCCCATTCCATGCATAGCTGTTAAAAAATCTGTTCTAACAAGGTATTACTTTTCCATATGATAGGAACAATGTCATAAAAGAGAAGCAGAGAATGTTCTATATATTGATTCATACTTTATGATGAATATATTCATACTTTATGATATCTTAGCATGAGTTAAATATAATATTTATGTATAATATTTACAAATAAAAGTAATTAAAATGTATTCAAAGATGAGGACAATAGACCATACCAAATTTTTTTTAAAACCTGAATCAAGATATGGTTAGATGTAACAAGCTTAAAGGCACACTTCTCTCCCATATTCATTTTTTGAAGTTATTCCTTTTTGACTTAAGCCTCTTCTGCAACAACTCTACATGGGTAGAAGACTGCTGAAATCTGACCGGTGACATTATTTAAGTGTACTAAATTTTAAATTAATTTCATACAAGGAGTGATGTGATAATGACTTTAATTATTAATAGTCTATCCAACTGTTCTAATTGTTACTAATATAGAATATAGGGAAACATAACTAACACACACTTTAGGATTTTATAACATTTATTCTTGACTCCTTTTATGTTTAAATAAATATCTGATCTCTTGAACAGATGCTGAGTGCATGCAATTGATGAACTCGTGAAGATAAAATATATCTATGAATGAAAAATTAAGTATATGTATAATGTCATTCTTTAGCGAATATGACTTATTAATGAAATTAATGTTGAAATAGAATTCTAACTACAACCTGGTATAATGAGATGGTGACTGTTCTTTCCCAGCTGTTATCAGTCAGTAACTGAATTATGGGATACACGCGTACTTCGGAAAAATATATATAAAAGTCACAGAGACAGAAATTATTGAGATTACTGTTTATACCTAATCCGTTTCAAAGTCCCCAAAGAGCAAGCCTAGGTAAATTAATACATATGCCCAACATTTATTAATTAATTTGATTTAATTAATCAAAACTATGACATTGTTCTGATGTTATTTTAAAACCCTGGATTCTGCTGTATGCTAGCAAACCAGAACCTTACCAAGTAGGAATGTGAACAGGTGGTTTGCTTTACTTACTTTGGAAGAAATACAAGGGTCAGTCACATAAGCCCAGTACTGGGTGGAGTCTTTTCTCATAGGACTGTCATCAAGTACCAGACACGCACATTTAAGGCGCATTGAGCTGCCCGCACACACTGGGGCCGAAGTGACCCAGGAAGGGGAGTGACCAGCTCGGGGCTGCCCAGAGGCGGAAAGTTAAACTCCAAAGCAAGTTCACAGGGCAGGAGAGTGACTAGCGAGGGACGACCTTGTGAATACTGATCTCCCTGAGTGACCACAGACTCAATGATAATGTGGCCTGAAGAGGCAGCTTTCTTTGCAAATGGGAAACCACGTTCCTACTTAATGACAGTAACAGCAACAACACAAGTGCTGAGACTCCAAACACCCGAGGTGCCCAAACATCCTATTTGTTGAACATTTTACGCAATGAAGCCCACGGAAGAAGTTTCACCGCGTTGAGTGACATTATGTCTGTGCTAAGATGGTCACACTGCCTTCTAACTGTAGACTAACTTTCCCATCAACCTCATGCTGCGCTTTATCCGCTGGATGTCAGTGGGACCCTCGGCCTCGCTGCGGTGACCTGACACGAAGGACAGCTCACAGGACAGAGCTGCGCTCATGCCGGGGGCATGGAGGCAGAGACCTACAGAGGTTGGCTACTATTTCAATAAAGATTTTGGGTAAATTTTCAACCAACCACGTAACGGATAGACTTTCTTGATTCTCAGCACTACAGATGCCCCATGTGGTTATAAACAGAGGCCCCCGATTCTGTTAGGAGTGCCTAGAAGACACAGCTCATCTACTTGGGGTACTCAGATCATTGTTATCACTGCCACCATTTAATCAGGAAAGGGGCCCCCTCGTAAAGATACTGGTTCACGGGGGAGGACGAGAGAAAGCTCACTTCAGCACCTTATCAGTTCAGACTTCACACATCATTTACAACAAAAAGCTGCCACAACAGAAAGAGTCCGTACTTGGAGGTTTCGACAGGCTGCGGGTTGAAGTTCCCCTCCGAATCCATGGATGACTGCTTCTCCATCATGCCCACGTGGTTTGACTCCATGTAGTCCGGGGGCAGTGCGCCCGCCACCGCACTCAGGCACGGCAGAGCCAGTTTGAAAAGCTCTTGTTCATATTTCTAAGAGGAGATGGAGAACCGAAAGAATGAAATAAATAGTGTGTCACAATTCAGCCGAAGTTGTCCACACGATCACTGTGGAGGGGGAGGTGCTGAAGGAGAAAATGTGAATCCCCTGGGCTAACTCGGCTCACCAGCAGATTCTGCCCCAGAAAACACGCCATTCAGCCCGAAATCCCTGCAAACACGAGACGCTGACAGCAACACGCTGCAGCTGCAGCCTAAGAAAACATCTTTGCTTCTCTAAATCTGTATTCCTCGATACCTGAAACGATGCGGCTTTGAATATGCTGAGTGTATAACAAAGTGGGCAATGTGTCTTTACAACCTAAACCCCGTTTCAGGCGACGAGGACTGTATTTCTCAGTTATTGTCAGTTATTGGGCCGCACATTATAGAGACCGCACGTGAGGACATCTGCGGAGGGCATTTCAGTGCAAAGACATCAGAATTTGGGCCAAACTGGAGGGAAACACAGGAACTGTGCATCACTGAACTATCTGGTATATAAATTACATGATTCATTAAATTTGTATTTACAGATTTTTAAAAAAATCAAAAATAATCATTTAAATCAGATCTCACTTTAACCATTCAACTTTAATGTTGTTAATTCTTCTAAAAATGTCTTGTACTTATTATTTTAAAAGGACTCTGTTTACCAAAGATAATTCAGCAAGAAAAATTATCAAGAAGTCACTACTAAAGGAAGTCACACGAACTGTGCCCTACTGGGAGGCAAACTTTGGCTATTAGGGAAGTCTCATAAAGTCTCATGAAGTCCCATCAAGTCTATCGGGGAAGACAAAATGATTGTGATCAATAATGTAAGCACAACTGTACCCAGCATGATGTCTACTTTTCTCTGTGACCATCCACTCTTCTCAAAGTATATGAATTATTCATCATAAATATGGGACGATGAGGGGCCGTCTGAGTGGAGGGGCTTACATGCCCATAGCAGCAAGTGGACGGTCAGTAAACCACTGGAATATTACTACTCCAGGAGATTTAATATAGTATATTTTCATACTTGATATGATTTCTTCAGGTTTTATAAGATTGGGGAGGTAACTAAGGGGATTTTGAGCCCAAATAAGACCAAATACAACAGAAACGTTATCAACCCTGTGCATAATTTCCTAAAATGCTTAGCCATTTTAGATTCAGAAAGTGTTATGATCGCAAAGACATGGTACCACAGCAATTACGAAAAGTCTTAATGAATTTCATTTTTAACATTTGCTATAAATTCAGGAAAAAACAAAACTAAGTCTTGATCATTCTTATCAAGAACTTATGGCTTTAATTATTTTATCACACAAATAAGCTCACAAAATATTAAAGTACCTTTTGAGACAGGGCATCAAAAATGCCCCAGAACAATTTTCTTGATAAATGAAGTTCTTCCTCTGAGGCAGCTCCGAAGTTCCCCCACCCGCCTGGCAGACAGTAGTACTTCCAGCACCTTTCATAGTGGTTTGTCAGCAGCTACGGGAAACAATGATAAAGGCCATGAGCTAAAGACTCCTTTGATACTTTTCCATTTCTTCCCACATGGCGTTCTGATGCCATGTAATAAGGTAAACAGAACCAAAACGGCTCGATCCACCTGAATTCTTCTGAGTGACCTTGTCCCATGTCTGTTTCAAACGTAACAGTGGTCACAGCATAGAGATCTATGGACCAATTTTACAAATCGCTCACCTTGCACATTCTTTATGAGGCCGTTGGATTGTCTATGCATCTCTGTGTTCTACGTTAGTGCCCAGCACTTACCTCCTCACTGTTTTATGAACTGGGATCCCCTGGACTCCGTGAGCATAACAAAGGGACTGGTGTCAGGGTGACCTGAGCACTAACAGCCCCAGGACAGGGGACCTAAAATGTGCCTTTTGAGGGAACTGCACCCCTGAACATCTGTGCTATCCTTTCTGCAACCCTTCATCCCACACTGTGATGGAATGTCTCTAAGTAACCCCCCCCCAAAAAAAAAACTGCCCACTTCAATCATTTCTTTAGGTATATTTTCAATTTATTATCTTACTGAGTGTCTATGTTGCTTATCAAGTTTTCCTATAAACATTTTATTTGTTTAGAACTAAACTGGAAATTCAAACTATAGCATCTTTCAATTTGGGGGTAGTTCTTTGGATAATGTGCTCTTGATCTATAAACTAACAAATATTCACAATTATTTGCCGAGTTAATAAAATGATGTTTATGAATCAACTAAAAATTTTTGGATTGCACCCTGGCTGGATGGCTCGGTTCGTTGGAGCGTCATCCTGTACACCAAAAGATTGTGGGTTTGATCATCCATGAAGAGAATAATAACGCAGAGCAGAGAGAATGCAGTGACTTCTCTATCCTCAGTGACAAAGCATAACTGCTATACAGAAAGGTTCCCTCCCAACCTTACGCCATGACATCTGGAAACCATCATTAGATTGCCAACTTAGAACCGCTATTTTCAAAGCCACTCTTCATCCCTGAGGCTACTGATGTTCTAGGCCAGACCTGTCACCACGTTTCCAGCCTGAGGATTTCTTGGCTCATCTTTTTCCTGTGGCCCATTTGTTCCCACTGATTTCCATTTCCACTGACATATAAAAAATCAATCTTAGGATTTCTGTGGTCTTCTATTGCTTATATTTTAGGTTGAGGCACACAGATCTATACTTACATGCCCATTTCATCAACTGGAAGAAATCTTCCAACATCAGACATCAAACATGACGTGTCTAAGAGACGTACATACAGGTTGTAACAAGAAACAGTCAGAGGACCAGGCAGTAAAGTAACTATGACCGTGTCTCATCCTTACCTTAAGGGGCATCTTTGCATGCTCATTTAACAGCGGGACGTCAAACACGAATCTCCTGAGTAAGTGCTGCATCATAGAAGGTCTCAGTTGGCTGGTGGAACAAAGCTGATTTTAATAATGGAGTAAACGGTCTAAACTAAGTAGACAATTCATTAGACTAAATTAAATATGCCTCTCTTCAGAGGATGTTAATTTTAGGTGTTCCCATGCAAAGATTAACCGATGGTTGCACAGTGAGTAAGAGGTTCCATTTGCACCTTGTCTCCACTCCGATCTGAAGACTGATCCCTCTTCCCCACAGGACACACTTTTTCTTTGCTCCCTCCCTTCCTCACACGACTTAGTAACGTGTCTTCCCTCACTCCCATGAGTGGAAGGGTCTCCAGTGACCAGATGGGAAGCAGAAAGATGAGCGAGTGAGGAGCAGGAGGGAGAAAGGGCCGAGACTGAAGTTCTGCCAGAGGATGATGGGAAAGGTGGACGTGGCGGACATCAGCCCTCGGCTATGTCAGGCAACCTTGAAGCTCCTACCCACTTAATACGTAGACAAATCTGTGAGTTACGTATTTTGATTCCATTTTATAGAATTTTAGCCTCAGGGAAGTGATAGAACTGATCTAATTTTTCTCCTCCCCTAGTCCCATCTGGCTTCCAAACCCCTACACCCCACTGTGAGTGGAAACCTTCCCTTCGCAGTGTACTACCAGCTGCAAGCCTGCACCTCCAGGAGCCCCTGTCCAATGAGAAAGAGCCTCCATCCTCGTTAGGGGCCTGAGAAGTTGTCCCTCTCACCGTCAGAACTCCAGAGGGAGGAGACGGTTCTGGTTTTCATAGGGAAGGCATTTGAACACCTCTACCTACAGGAAGTGGTTTTCCAGCTGGAGGAAGAGCTAGCCTTCCTCACTGCCACCCATAAGTAATGCTTTAATATTATATCGAATCATTTTCCATATTTAGTAAGGACCTCTTTCTCTTCTATTCCGGAAGAATCAAAAGGGGAGAATCTATTAGTCTTACACTAAAGTGGCCAGGGACTCCTTACACCACCACCTCGCCCACTACCATCCAGAACAGCACAACTCGTCCAACATCACATCCAATGGCTAGATACCCTTGAGAGGTTTGGGGGAACACTGCTAAACTTAGCTCATACCTTAGTACAAGGACTACCTACTAGAAATTAATCTTTTGGTACAGAAGTTGTTTCCAAAACTCATAACAACTTGTAGAGGGCCACATAGTAATAAATTCTCTTTCTGAAAGAAGGAGAGACTTGGTAACGTTATTTCCCACTCACCCACAAATAGAGAGCAAACAAACTTCTATGGAATCCCGCTGAGCTTTGGTCAGTGAGCAGCCCTTAGAAAGTCTGTACACGGTATGAAGCAACGAGTCGATGAGGGAAGCGTGGTGCTCTGTGCCAGCGAAAAGAGGAGCACATCTTGTTAACAAAGGCAACACGGCCGTGCAGAGGTACCGATTGAGGGCCAAGGCCATGTCCGTAGCACTCAAAGCAGCCTGAAAAGGAATTGGAGAGGAGAAGGTCATTTGTGTTTGGGGAATCAACAGGTTGACATATAATTTCACCATCTAAAAAGTGACAAAAAAGTAAAAATGTATACCTTTAAATGTGGTTCATATGATTTTTACCACTAAAAACAATCAACTTCAATTGCTTATCAATAGATAAAAATAAATGAAGTGCTATCTCCTCAGAGAGCCCAAGAGCCAAGAGGCTCATATTCTATAACAAAACATCAATAGTAGGAGAAATGGAAGATAAAGACAATAATGATATCAAAGAATGTGAGTACTTTACTAGGAGAAGAAAGAGAAAAGAGCTTATTATCAAAATATATTTCATCTTCATACATTCTCTCTGAATTCTACTTATTAATAGTTTCTATTTCTGCTCATGTCCACCAGCATCATTACTATGCTATCTCAGAATTTCATGTGAACACACCCAAAGAAAAAAAATTTAAGTTTCATTTGTATGATTCTCCTCTCATGGCATTAATGAAATCCCTATTGTCAACTAACAATCTATTTCCTGCTGAAATCAGAAGACCCATTTAGCTGAGAATGAAAGGAGGTGTTAGAAAACTAATGGACAATAAGTTACAGCTTATTCCACAAAGTTTCAAGCAACAGCAAATTAACACTGATGATGACAGAGTCTTGATGGAGCCACTGTGTACATGGGGCATATCTTAACCTATCTGTACGTCAACATGAAGACACCAGGATAACATCATGAGCGCATGACTCAGCAATGTCCATTAAACCTTCTTAATATTTTAACTGATTTATTGAGAATAATTGTTTAGGTCAACTTAGAGGTTATCAGGAGCCACAGTGACCTCCCAAATTAGGCTTCCGATGAGTTTCTCATTGTCTTCCTTGCACCTGATTAGAATTCTTATCTTATTCTTGAGGCTGAGTCTTCTCTACTATTCAATGCATTCCTTGAGGAAATACTCTATTTTATTATCTGTTTATACATTGCTTGCCTAAAAATATAATAGGTGCTCAATAAACATTTGGTGACAATAAATGAATAAATTTATCTATGAAAAAAAATATCACAAGCCAGAGACTGAAGAGTCTCAATCCGGGAAGCCAGGAGTTCAAGTCATTACCGTGTCTAAGGAAGCAGCAGCCCGGAGATCTGGCAGAAAGCCAACCTCCAGGAGGTGGAGGAGGAAATCCTGAACCTCAATGCCATAGACCCTGTCAAGGAACAAAACCATGGCTGCCTTGTGATCTGGGCAGAACCCCGCAGACATGTCAGGCTCCACCACATTCCCATCTGAAAGAGAGAAGGTGACAGGTCGTAGTCAGTGGTCATGCCATTCGAGAGACAGAGTACAACTGTCTGCTTTCCAGCCCCCTCATGCTTTAAGCCAAGTTGTCTGCTGAATGGTTTTCTGTTATTCTGTTGAACAAGCTAATGCTGGGAACTGGCTCAGGACATATGATAGTGCAATTTAAATCCCAGTCAGGGCAATGTTATTTGGATATCCATTTGTTAACAATGTGATAAGGACATAGCATTCTGCTAGATACTGAGAAGTAAAAAAAGAAGGTATCCAAAATCCACATTGTAAAACCAGGAGTAAATACCATGAAAAGTTAAAACATAAAATGAGGTTTCACTTTTTCAATAATAGGAGCCTCTTTTACACGTTGATAAAACTTACTAAACCACAATGGGATACTCTCGATACATTTATATATTTGTAGAGTAGATAATTACAAAATGATGAAACAATCCTATGAAACCAGTTTGACTTTCAAATGAAATATATTTCATGAACGTAATTAGAATTAACAACATTTAAAACATATCTGAGCGTTATATTATTTTCTCTATCAACAACCAGTGTTGATGTCTATATAAATTACTAAATCCTTTACTATGACTCCATAGATTCATAGGTTGGGGACCATAATATTAGGGATTATGGGATTATGTGTCAACTTAATTTACTGGGCAAATGATGTCCTCTCTGTTTGGCCATGTGATGATTATGCCAACTGCTGCTCTAACACACCACGAGATTCCACAAAGAATATCACGGAATCTTGAATGATGATGCAATGTCGAAGCAAGAAGAACCCAGGGAAAGATGACAGACATGACCATAACATCCCAAAGAACAGTCACAACTTTTTTGTTTTTATTCATAGTCAATGAATGAATTTGATATTTACATCATGAAAATAAACAAATAACAATGTTTTAAGGAAAATGAGATTAAAGACTAAGGCTGTACACCTACTAATTTGCAAATTTAGTTCTAAACCAAGCAAAATTGGATTTAAAATCCGGCCAATCCCTAGTGTTAAATCAGTGTGGTATAATTTTTTTTCTTTTTAAAAAAATAGATTTTTACTTATTGACTTGAGAGAGAGAGGAAGGGGGAGAGAGAGAGAGAAACATTGATTTGTTGTTCCACTTGTTTATGCAGTCATTGGTTGATTCTCGTATGAGCCCTGGCCTGTGATGGAACCCTCAACCTTCGCATATCAGGTGATGCTCTAATCAACTGAGCTACCTGGCCAGTGTCTATAACTTTCTATTAAAAGCCTATATGAAACTCCAGTTCAAGTCTCCTAAAAAGCACATGATACGAAATTTAAACGTCCAGGTTCTATTATTTTGACATATGGTTGAGCCTAACTCAGAGGCTAAAATAAGAAAAGGTGAGTCATTCACAGATCCTAGGATAAGATTTGGGTTTGAAACACTCATTCATTTACGGAGTGACAGCAGCATCCACCTGGGACCCAGGGCTCAGTGATGCACGGTCGCTAGATCTGTTCACTGGCTCCCCCAACACAGACAACAACCCGATGAACAGCCTCCTCTGCTAACTGGCATGCGGAGGCCTGGGCATTGGCTTTACCCTGGGGACCTGCAGGATCCATCCACCTGAAGTCACCCCCTGGACCTTTGTCCAGCCTTCCTGGGCCCAGAGCTGGGGGAGCAGCATCTCTTTCCGAGACCACATATTGCCTTCGGGTCTCTGAGCCCCTCCCCCTTTCATTGTTATATGGCCACACTCCGTTCTAGAACAAGTGCACTCTAAAGGTTTCAGACAGGCCTTAGCTAATCAGAGGGACCTCACCTTTGGCTATCGCAGGCATCTGGAAAGTGATGCTGATCACGCCCACCAAATCTCCCAGGGGAATCAGGGACCTCAAAATTGATCTGATCCTGATGGCTTCCCCCTTCCCGGCGTGAATCAACTGCAGGAAGAGAACAAGGAACATTAGAATCACTCTGTGAAATCAATGCTATAATTCTGCCTACAAACTTGAAGTACAAAATCATGTCTGAAATGATTTGCTTTGACAGCTATGCATAAAGTTAGACGTGGCTCAGAAACGGTTGTTTCGGGCTTACAGATGCTATTTCCCTGCCACAGTCTCCTCTGACGCCGGCACACTATGCCGAGGCCAGTGGCCGGCAGTGTTATTCTTAAGGAGCATGAAGATCGTTGGTCTGGGTGCTGGGGGACACCCCTACCAGCTACTGTGTCTTCACACAGAGGAGCCAGGGTGCCGCTCTGGGGCCCCAGGAACTTACATGCATTTCAGGAGCACAACGTCCTAACAGGTCGATCAAAGCCGCATAGAAGGTCATGATGGCGTTCCCCATGTGGATGGTGTTGTCCTCCTCCTCCGTGTCACTTTCATGGATCATTCCAGGGAAACAGAAACAAATCAAACAGGAGGATGAAGTGACATTTCTGGTTTATTACATGTTCTCAGGGGACAGGGGCCACTAGGTAATTCATTCTGGTGCTTTTCATGCTTGTGTTTAATTTACAGCTGGGCATTTTAAAGCAAAATGACAATGCCTTCAAGACCAGATTTGAGATTCTGTCACCAAGGACACACTTGTGGGAATGTGAATACTAAGGCCCTTTCAAGAAGAAGAAGAAAAAAAGAACTGCTAATTTGATGATTCTGCTCAATTTGTAGTGGCAGCTAGCTCATTAACAAGGAAGGGAAGAGATGGAAGGACCTGGCAAACTTAGAATGCTTTTGTGACCAGACACATTTAGAGAAAGGGTGACAAAGATCTGTCCCATAAGGTCACATACATAGGGTGCCCAGTACAGTGTTTTCCCCAGAGGAAGAACTTCATAAACATGATCTCAGTTACCCACTCATCTCTTACCCACCAACCCACTCCCAGTAATCCGGCATGTCCCCCTCCCGCTCTGTGGGAAAAACAAATACTTCATTGTCTCACTGAGGACAGACAAATGTTGATGGACCTGGAGACCAAGGCCTTCCTCCTTTGGCAGCTCAGGAGTCCGCTGTGTCCGCTGCGTCAGAGGTCTGACCCGGGACAGCGAGGCTGCACTGGCCACACCTTTCCTGGCGTGCAAGGCTGTTCCCAGGGCCCTCGAGTGCACACCCACTGGTGTGGGCGGGGCCAGATCTCTAGATGTCCTTTCTGCTACTTAGAGAAACCGAGGACTCCCTTGTTCCTCTGTGGCTGACTGATAAGTACAGAACCTCCCAGTCTGGAGCCCAGCCACGGTGTGGACAGCACTCTGTGCCGGGCTGTCCATGCAGCAGGGTTGGCAGAACCACGTCTGTGCTTGAACTTGCCTCCAACAGGCCCTGTGTTGTTTCTTCTCCAGGAGTGGGGGTCATGAGCCTAGCAGGACTGCCACCTCCCAGAGTAAGACAACAGGAGCAGCAGCCAGGATTAAAGTACGTCCATCGCTGAAGTTAGTACTCACAACCTGCACGTCTGGACACATGGAAGGCGGTCGCTGCCCCTTCGGTCACTCCTAGCATGATGACACCCCCTTTTCTGGACTAAGTCCCCATTATCTTCCTAAAGGTCTCCCTCATTCACTATTGTCATGAAAACTTATTCTAGCTGCTTCCTCTGACCTTGACTCCAGGTGTGGAGGCTCGCTGCGATCGCTGTAAGAAGGAAATTTGCCCGAGTCCCTGGGAGAAACTGATGAGAGACAACCTCCCACAACCTAAGCTTCTCACTACAGCCACATCTTCCCAGGTCTCTGTTCATTCAGCCTGGTCCTGCAGGCCCCCATCCCTCTCCCACATCTAACACACTTGGTCTCCAAGGGGAGAAATCCCCAGTTACATTGAAATTAACAGACTGCAAATTATATTTTGTAAAAGTTCAAGTCAAGTAGCACAAATTTACTCCTAAGAATGTGTGTATTGGACCTACGGGGTTTTGCTGGACCCGCTGGTTGGGAGGGGCCATCTCGAGAAGGGTCCTCGGCGATTTTGATGGCCTCTTCCATGGCTGCGAGGAGCCCGTTCCCACCCTCGCCGCGCAGGGCGGGCCCGAAGCACTCGGGTCTGCGGATGAGCAGCCGCACCACCACGTTCGCGTTCTCCTCCACGCTCTCCCCTGCGGGCACAAGTGGGGTCACACGGACTTCTGAGCAAATGATGTTACATTCATTCATTTATATTAAAAAAGTAATAACTAAAACCAACAAACATGATGGTAAAGCCAAATTACATTCAGATGGCTAGTTTTATGTGTACAAGACTGCCATTTTCTGTTCTTGTACTTTAACATTTCCAATGTAAAGTAAAGCATTATGGAGGCATATACTGTTAATTTGTAACTTGAAGCCATAGTCCTAGGCCTTATAGAATCCAATTACAAAAATTTATAAGAATGTAAGTACAGAAAGTTTTTAATTTAATAATGAAGTATAGCATCACTATCAAAACACATATTATAAAATAAGTTGTTACTATAAATATCTGATTATAAAATATTCTGTTTCTTTTCTAATATTTACCTCCCCCATGAAAATGCTGGCATATATCACTATTTTATAACTATTTCTATGCAGTTTTAATAATGAGCGAAGAGGCCCCCACAAGCCATCCGTCCTACCGTTACAGAAAACAGCAAATCTGAGAAAGTCGAGATATCTCTCCCCTTCGACTGGGTTCCAGCCGATGTCTGGGTACCCCTTGGCCACCAGCATCGGGCAGCTCTGCAGTCCACAGCCGGCCAAATACCGGACGACCTGCCAACAGGACAAGGAGCAGAGCATGAGCCCTCGGGCGTCAAGTCAGAGGTCAGCTGCATACTCCAGACTGTGGAGACGCCATCCAAGGGCGGTTTGTAACAAATGCAGCTTTGAAAGTTTTTGTGTGTTTTTTAATCTTTATTGTTGGGTATTACAGATACCCCCCTTTCCCCCCATTGTCCCCCTCCACAGGGATCCTACCCGGTCCCAGGCCTTCACCACCCTATTGTGTCCATAGGTAATGCATATCTATAATAATAAAAGCATAATATGCTAATTAGACCAGACGTCTTTCTGGACGACCATCCTGATGACCTTCCTGACGAAGCTGGGGCTGCGAGGGCTGAGGCAAGCCGCTGCAGCTGTGAGGGCCGAGACCCTTGCACGAATTTTGTGCATCGGGCCTCTGGTATGCAATATAAGACCTTTGGTTAATCTCTTCCTGCTCCCCCTCCCCCACTTTCCCTCTGAGATTCGTCTGCCTGTTCCATTCCATGCCTCTGGTTCTATTTTATTCATCAGTTTATTTTGTTCATTAGATTCCTTGTTCATTTATTTTCATTTTTAGATTCAATTGTTGATAGATGTGTATCTATTGCCATTTTATTATTCATATTTATGATCTTTTTTCTTCTCCTTCTTCTTCTTAAAGAACACCCTTCAACATTTCATGTAATACTGGTTTGGTGGTGATGAGCTCCTTCAGCTTTTTCTTGTCTGTGCAGCTCTTTATCTGACCTTCAATTCTAAATGAGAGCTTTGCTGGGTAGAGTATTCTTGATTGTAGGTCCTTGCTATTCATCACTTTGAATATTTCTTGCCACTCCCTTCTGCCCTGCAGTTTCTGTTGAGAAAGCTGGCAGTCGTATGAGTGCTCCCTTGTAACTAACTGCTTTTCTCCCTGCTTTTAAGGTTCTTTGATCCAGACCACAGTGTTCCAGCTGCTGTGTGGGTATTAGTGTGTATATTAGATCTAGAGTCTAATTAATCCTCAGACCCCTGGCAGCAAAATTCCTCCACAGGGTCTGGTACCTGCGGGATCTCCTTGTGGGTGTGCCGCTTGTGGAGCTAAAGAGGTCGTGCTCTGGTGTAGTCTGCAGCCCTGCACTGATGTGTTGGTTCTGGCGCCTCTTGGGAGGGACAAGTGCAGGTCAATGTCAGACGCTGCCTTTCAGAGCCTTGGGCTACTTGTCAGGAGCAACCGAGTGACATGCAGCTTGTGGCTGCCTATGCTGGGCCTGGGTGGCGTGGAGTAATCCGAGCTGCGCACCAAGGCTGGCTTCCCCCAACACTGAGTCTGGGGGCAGGTGAGCAAAAGGCCCAAGGCATCCTGAGACCCACCTCCGCCTGGCAGCTGCCTGTTAGGCTCAGTCACTGGACGAGCCCCGGGCAGTAGGCAAGTTGCATGAGGGAGGTTCTCAGTGAGTCCCCAGGTAGGGGCGCATGGTGTTCACCAGGTTGATAGAGATTCAAATTTGGTGCCAGTGCTGGGTCTGAGGCCACTCAGCACAAGTCCCCGGGTGCACCAAGGCCAGCCGCCTCCTGCCTGAGTTGCATGGACCCGTGGTGGGGGCAGTCTCAGGGGGTCAGCAGGATGAGGCCCGCAGAGTTCATCAGGCTAAAGAGACCCAGGTTTGGCTGTGTGGGGAGAGCACCACACAGGAAGATGGGTGCCGCTCAGGTGCATGAAGATAGAATGGCCCCCCTCCAGCCCCATAACTCAGTCTCTGACATTTAAAAAGCAGAAACTGTGTGATTAAAGCAAATGTGACAGCAGATATCATGAAAGGACAAAAACAGACAGGAACACAGACAGAGTAAGTTGATTCTTTTTTCAGAAAGAAAAATGCATGTAGTTAAAGGAAATAACTTATCTCAAACATCTTATATAACTTATAATATTACATGCCACATTTATGTATAATTACAGTAACATAACTGTCACTATGTTGCAGCTGTATTTAAATAATCTTGAGGAGGAGTTGTGAACCAGCAGAGCTGACCCTGCGCAGCGCAGGAAGGCCGCCTACCTTCTCCAGGTCCGGCTCGCGCAGCGCTAAGGCCAGCTCATTGTTGTCCATCACCGAGGCCGCCGCCACGTCCAGGGGCGTCGAACCTCTCATCGCTGGCGAAGCTGTTAATCCAAACGAAGAGGAAACAAAACCTGGATTGGGCTGCAACTATGAATTCCGTGTAGAACACACTTTTACTTAAAATTTAATTTCGAAGTGCAATACATATGGCACTCCTCTGAGTTCATTGACATTACATTGAAATATGTATATTATTTTTATCACAAAATTTAAGTAAAAGTCAAACCCTTACTTACCTAGACCAACACTGCTGTTTTCCAATAAGTAACTGAGATGGTCAAACATAGCTTTTTGGTTCTGCCGGCTTATCCGACAGAAGTAACAGAGGAAACGGCAACAGTTGGCTACCATCTTGGGAAAAGTGATCTCCTGCACAAAGAGCATTTAATTAGCTGTGAAAGCAAATCATCTTCACAAAATTGAGTCACATTGTTAACCCGTGTGTGCCCATGTCTGCAGAGCCTTGGCCTGAAGACCTTCCCACTTCCAGACTCTGACCCACCTGTCCCTGAGCCCCAGAAAAGCAAGCCTGGCACTGATGTCGAAACCTCATCACCATCAATGGCTGGATTTGGAAGTAATCTACAGCCCAACCCGAGGGAGGCATGAGCCCGGGTTAGGAATCAGACCGACTCGGTGTGACTCCTGCCCACTAGCAGCTGTGCCCCCTTGGAAAACTGCAAGCTCACTGACTTGGTTATGTAAACCTGGAATTAGGAGGATAATGCTGCTCCCTTTGGACAAGAAAGGCAGATGTAAACGAGGCAGTCTGTGAAGAACACCCAGTGTGATATTTGGAACCATAGGTTCTGATCATCAGTGCTGCCACTGCGGCTATCGTTAAAATTCCAGGTATTGCCCTAGCCGGCTTGGCTCAGTGGATAGAGCATCAGCCTGCGGACTGAAGGGTCCCAGGTTCGATTCCAGCCAAGGGCACATGCCTGGGTTGCAGGCTCAATCCCCAGTAAGGGGTGTGCAGGAGGCAGCCGATCAATGATTCTCTCTCATCATTGATGTTTCTCTCTCTCTCTCCTTCTCCCTTCCTCTCTGAAATCAATAAAGAAATATATTTAAAAATAAAATAAAATAAAATAAAATTCCAGGTATTCACAGTTTCCTGATGGCACAGGACTCCTCCGCTCTAAGGAGCACCCTGCCTGGAAGCTGGACCCCATCAGACACATGTCCTTTGAGAGCCAAACCCTGTTCTAGGATGCTCGATGATGCCTGGGGTCCTTCTTCAACACAGCATTTTATAAATATCTTTGTAAGTCTGTCTAAATGGTGACTGGACATGAGAATTATAGACTCATTTCCATATTTTGAAAAACACAGTGAAATTTCAAAAATTATTGGAATATATTTTGGAAATCAGACATTATAAAATTATACCAATTTATCTGAAGTTATTTGATATATTACTCTGTTCATTTGGTTCTAAAGAACTTTATTTTAAATTTTAATCCCTTAACAATTCACTTTAGAGTCTTACAACCAATAGTCCAGAGCATCAACCTCAAGTCTTGGTCTGGACCGGGAACTGAGTGCAGCCCCGGTTGGCAAGGGGAGCAGCTGGATCTCAAGGACATGTGTGTGCTATGGACGCGTAACGTGAAGAAACTGACTTATAGTGCTAAATTTTAAATAAACAGTACAGTATTAACTTTTAAAGTTTCTAAACATCCCTTAAATGACAATAATTAAGGATACAGCAAATCACACAGCATAGGATAAAAATTGTTATAGATATTAAAGACAAAAAAACACTAGTAGTACATCCAACTCTCAATCTGTAAGGTTTTCCAAAAGGTGTCTTTTAAACAGTCCTCCGGAGAAGGTTTAGGACATGCATGCACTCAAGGAGGTGCAATAAACGCCACCCCAAGATTCGAAGGTTTTCCTTTACCTTGGACTCCCCACCGCCAAGGACGTTCACCATGACCTCCATCACTGTCTCGTGCATCCCCAGTGCCCTCATGAGGTTAGGGTGCTGGTAAAACACTTTATTATTCATAATGTCCCTACAAAGGAACACAGGTCAGAGCAAAATTTCAATAAAATATTTATCTGAAATCTAATCAACTTTTGGAAATACAGGCATGTACGGAAAAGTAAGAGCAATCATAGTTAAGCCACAAAAGTTAATAAGTGCAATTGAGTTTTCCTCAAAAATATTGGTAGCCTACCAAAAATAGTAAACAAGTTGTCTATTCTTTTCAATTACAAGAAATGTACTAAATATATAAACACTCACTAATATGAAATACAGTTTTGGACACATCATCCTAATTTAATGTATATCCAAATGTGTTCAACCTTCTTTTGTATAGAAATGAATCAGTTTCAATGTTTATAGAAAAATTCCTATATAAATTATTGATCTATGAGTATATCTGCTTTAATCCTTTTTATTATTTTTGCATTCTATTTGATCCATGTCAGTAGTCATCTTCATTATCTCATTTTTTATCTGATATTTATATAGCTAGATTAGCTTTTTTTTTTGCTAAATATTTGTCTTCTACATCACTTTTTCACATTCTACATTCCAGATTCCTACATCCTATGTTAAAGTATTTTTCTTGTAAACGTCATATAGATTAATTTAAGCTTTCCTTTTTCTCTGGTATGTTAGTTCCCTCTTATTTTCATATCCCCAAGTTAATGCAAATTACTGATTGCTTAGACTTATGCAGGTACACACCAATAACATACTCACTAAAACACATTGCCTCCCATTCCTTCTTTCTGAATTCCGTTTTCCTTTCTCAAATGTACAGCCTTTAGAAGGCCTTTCAATGAGGGGCTGTAAGGAAATACTCTGAAATACCTGTTTTTCTCTCTCTCTTGAATATGGGTGTAAATTTCCTCTCCAAAGCCACACAAAGCACGAGCTCATTGTGTGGGATCCTCCCCTGGTGACAATCCCACACTGAGTCACGTTTTCCAGTCCTGCCGTTGAGAATTCTAAACATCGTTCCTTTGCAAGTGTTCTGGCTTTCCTCTCTACTTTATTCTAAAATGGCCTCTCCAGCTGTCGATGTGGAACTATTGGAGCTTTGTGAATCTGTGAATTCCCGTCTTTCATCCACTCTGAAAAACTCAAGCCAATAGCTCTTCAATCCGTCCTTTAGTCCCCCCATTGTGTCTCCTAGCAACCTCCTTCAGCACATGCGGGACCTCCTCTCACTATCCCTTCGGTCTCACAACTTCTCTTTTGTACTTTCTATCTCTCAGTGCTGCATTGCTGAGTAATTTCCTCAGCTCTATCATCTAATTCATTAATTTTCTCTTCAGCTATAGCTTACCTGTAATTCAATTACCTGTTTTTTTATATCAATTCTCCTATTTTTCATTTCTAAAATTTTATTTGGATCTTTCTCAAACCGTCCTGGACTTTTTGCAAGTCTTGTTTTTAGAGACTTCATTTATTCCTTTGCATACAGTGATTTTAGGTTCTCTTTCCAACATCCTATTATCTGAAGTTCTTGGGGGAGGTGTTCTAACTCCATAGTTCATTGTAATTGCAGACCCTTATTTATGGTGAATTGTTTCCTATGTGTTTGCAGTTTTTTATTTTGGGCTAACTTTTTTTTACTATTTAGGTTTTTTCTTGCAAGATTTCAGAGGAACTTGAGCTAAGAAAGCATACCACCGGGCCAATTTTTACATTAATTTCTCAGCTTGGGGTTCCTTAAACTATGCATAAGGTGCAAAGGTTAAACCCCAAATCTACATGAAGCACAAGTTATGATGCTGAATTCGCAGTTCGCCATTCTTCCTTCACGGCCCAGTAGATACAGACAAACATTCTTATTGTTTCCTGCTGGAGAGTGTTTATCTCCTCATGGATTTTAGTGTGTTTTTATTAACCTGTATTTTTATATATGATTATACATTTCTGAGTAATTAAAAAACAAACTCAAAGGTATTTGCTCTGTATCACAGCCATCTTTACATCTAGTTGTAAAATTAGACATGTTTCATTATTGAGCAACCTTCCTATTTAGCTTTAAAACATCATCTCTAAAAACAATCTAACTTAATGATCATGCAATCTAAAGAGTGTATGTTTATTAATGCACCTACTGTTCTGGTATTGGGATAATCAGTCAGAAAGAAGACACACGTAAGACAAAAGGCCGTAAGGATTAAAGGTACCCTAGTCCCCGAATCATGAGCTTCTCCTCTTCTCTGCCCATCCTCACACTCAGCAGAGAGCGGATCTGGCCCAGGGAGGCCAGCAGGTTGATGGTGTCCTCCACGGAGACAGCGCTGATGGTGTAGGTCTTGGGCAGGGCCTGGACCAGCCCCCCGATGCCGTCGTACTGCCGGTGAAGCAGCACGAACATGGCCCTCACCAGCTCGGGGTCCTCGATGACAGACTCCTGAGCCCACCGCACCATCGTCTCAGAGATCAGCTGCTGAAGAGTGGCTGCGGGGTCATTGTTGATATTTTTAAAGAAGAAAAATAATAAGAGACGACATTAAAGTGGGCATTTCAACTGCATATTTCATAGTCCCAAACTCGTATCTATATTTGTACCGGAATATTTAGGAATAGTTTTAGAAGAAAATAAACTTCATTTAAATATATATGTGTATATATGTGTGTGTGTATGTGTATATATATATGTGGATATATACATATATATACACATATACATACAGTACAATAAAGATGAGTTATAGGACATGCAAGAATGGAAATACACAAACTGACAAACTTTTCTTTAAGGACTACTCTTATAATGAAGGGGTTTTAGTTGTTTCAAAATTGCAGCCACTTTTTCAAAACCACTGTTGGCAATCTATACAACCATTAATATGAGTTGTCCTATTACTTTTACTTTTATTCTCTTTGTTCCATTACCTTCTCCCCAGAAAACCTGGCATCACATGTCCCTATAAAGGTCAATCATGGGCATTCAAGGAGCGAGATGTTTACCCAGTTGTCTCCTCATTGAGTCATTTGCAGCAGTGACCTCATGTTGTTACATTTATACTTAAATTTGGATCCCAATAGTCACTTAAAATGTCTTCAAAAAGGAGTGAGGTGTCAGGGTGGGTCACAGACCCACTCCCGAGCCTTCTGGGCGAGTGTGTGTCTGAGACTCACTGCCCTGTGCCGACTTGACTCAGGAGTAGCAGCTTCCTCCGCAGTTAAGTAAAATATGCATGAACCAGACCGAAATAGAGTTACAGACACTACCTGTTGAAACCTTAAGAAAAGGTTTAACTTGATATAAGAAGATTTGAAAATCAACTGCATGGTATTTAGACAGGAAGGCTAAGTTACTCCTTTTTGCTTTCTCTTCACAGTCTCCAATCAAACACCTAAACTTCTAGTGCTCCCAGAGCCCACCCCCCCCCACCCCCCCATAATGTGCTCTCTCTCCATCTGTTTCTACAAGTATCGTCTGATGCTGCTGAGCACCTCTGGCGGCTACAGGCATCTACTCAAGAATCAGTTTCTCCCTGGCTCTCCAGTGTGACGCGTTGAAAGGATGGGTAAGTGTCAGCAGCGGGGCCCCTCCGCCTCCCCCCCCTGCTTACAGGACTTGTCGGAGTCACTCTCCGCTGGCTTGTCAGCTTGCTTCTTCTTCAGGGACGTCACCTTCTCCACCAGGGACAGCAGGCGCCCTCTAATTGTTAGGTCACTGCTTCCGTCCAGAGACCCATCGTCATCCAGCTCAATTCCTAGTAAAAAGGGAAGAGAAAGAAGAACAGAAAAACCTGTTTTAAAAGTACATTTCAGAAAAAGAATTCTCAGGCTTTGCACCCTCTCCCATTCACAGCGTCGGAAACTCGACAACACAGAGCAAGCCTGCCCAGGAGCACTTGCAGCAACATTCACGTGTGGCGTCTCTTCCTGCCTGCTCTTCCCCCTGCTCCTGTGGGCTCCTGGCCCTCAGCAGCCGGCACGAAATATAAAACTGAACAGAGGACAAAATCTCTCTCAGGAGACAAGACCCAGTCTGCTCCTTTCGCCGACACAGGCAGCTCTGACTTCAGGCACCGTCTGCCTGGACCTGCAGTTCTGCCGGCCTGAAAACCTCCCACTTTCCTCCTCACCTGCCTCCATAAATGTCAGTAATATTTTGACAACTTGAGACACAGGTAGAACAGGCCTAATTAGGTACCTAAAGCATGGATGCTTTATGTCTGAAGCAATAATTCTACCATTGTAGAGTGTCCCCTTCTTCATGCTATATTCATGGTATACATGCTATATAAACTGACGGCAGTCATTCAGTGGTTCTTCATTCATAAGCTGACTTAATACGCAAGGCAGTGCTTTTATTCTCCTTATTAAAATAAAATAAAAATAATGGCCCTGGGGCCGTGCAGATCTCCTAGGAACTGGCTGCCAGGTCACTGTCTTTCACAGGAGCAGCCTTCACCCACACCACTGCACGGAGACAGAGGACGCACACGCCCGCAGCATCGAATCGATCCCACTGGGCAAGTTCTTAGAATGAAGGGGGAGGATTCCCTTCACAGATCTGGCTGCTAACATATAATTCAATGTAGGATTCCCTTAGGCATTAATTAATTTCATGAGACATGCTGAATTTCAATGGCCTAAAAAGTGGCCACTCAGTCAGTTTAAATACAACTGGTTGTAAATAAATTTCATTAGACTCAATCAACCTAACACTCA